CTCCGTCTCTTGCTGTTAGACGCAGGGGCACATTTTCCTTTTCCTTCTCAAGGATCCCTGAAAGCGCCGTGCCGTGCCGCTGCAAGCATGAAAGGTTTGCCTTCAAACGAACACTGCCGACCCGAACATCAGTGGTATGTTCACCCGAGGGAAGAAGGAAAACAGGAAGCTTCCCTTTTTAGCTTCCCAGGTGGAAAAAAAACGGAAGAAGGGACTGGGGTCACGAGGAGAGGGGGGAGACAGAACAGGATGTGCTGGCGGGTTAGGAGGAGAGGGTTCTCTTGGGGGTTACGTGAATGGTATGGCAGTTCTTGCGGCGCCTTCAAAAGCACAGTATGCGTTGACGAGGTAGGTGGAGAGGAGGAGGGTTGCCTCGGGCTCGGGGGTTTAGAGGTTGGCGGGATGGTGGTGTGGTGAAGCCTTGAGGTCACTGGGAAGGTGGCCAATTTGTGGGGTAATTTCTTCAGCCCGAAACGTTCAGATTGAAACATCTCAAATGGAGGGCCCCAGCTTAAAAGCCCCAGGTGCGCGATGCTGGAGAGAACATCCGAGTCGCAAGTCAAACAGGAGGTGTGTTGCCATGGGAATCATTCAGAATCCTCTTGATTCAAAAGGCTCGGAGATTGGCGAGGTGGAGCGTTGGGCTGGGTCGAATTTAATGAGGATGCTGGGAGGGTTAGCGGATCCAGTACCAAGTGTTGAAAGTGTTGCTTTCAGGTGTGTAGAAGCGGTGGCGTGAAAGAAGGGTCAGTCAGTGGATGCTGGGCAGGTGGCTGGCGTGTGTGTGTCTGGCATGGCAGACAGAGAGGTTTCAAAGGCGTGTGTAGTGGATGCTGTGGGAGAGAGGTTTCAAAGGCATGGCAGTGCTGCTTCGCGGGTTGTGAAAGAGTGAAAGAAGGGTCAGCCAGTGGATGCTGGGGAGGTGGCTGGCGTGTGTGTGGTGGTGTGCTGACGACGCATCGCCAGGATTGGCAACGGAGGAGTGTTGGGCTGGATTCAAACGGTTGCAATGCACTCCTTCAGAATGCTGCTTCAAAGTGTGTGAAAGAGAGGTCAGTTAGTGGATGCTGGGGAGGGTGCTGGTGTGTGGTGGTGTCTCAAACGCGTGTGGGGTGCCGCCTCCCCCAGGCATGCCTGCATCTGAGGGGTTCAGACGAGTGGGGTCCTCCCATGGGCCTGGTGGGTGGAAGTGCAGTTGGGCGCAAGGGAGGGGGAGTCAAGGCGTTCAGACGAGTGGGGTCCTCGTCCTCCCATGGGCCTGGCGGAGAGAAGGGAGGCCAGGGACAAGCCTGCATCTGAGAGGAGATTGTGTTTCAGATCATGGGGCGTGTGGGGTGCCGCCTCCCCCAGGCATGCCTGCATCTGAGGGGTTGAGACGAGTGGGGTTCTCCCATGGGCCTGGTGGGTGGAGAAAAAGGGCAAGACCAAACCAAAGGAGGAGGGAGCACAGGGGGGAGGAGCGGGGGGAGAGAAGGGAGAAGCAGGTGCAAAGGCGTGTGTTTGGAACCCTGGGGCGTGCGTGGTGCTACTACCTCGCTCACTACACCCTCGGGTCCTCCTGTAAGCCTAGCAGGGGAAAACGCAGGAGGCAGGGAGGCGGTAAGAGCACGGGGAAAAGGGGTCAGATATGGGTGTGGTCTGGTCTGGTCTGGTCTGGTCTGGTCTGGTCTGGTCTGGTCTGGTCTGGTCTGGAGAGGATATGCGTTTGGTCTGGAGAGCACGAGAGAACACTTATCCATCCAGCCCTCCATCCTACTCCCCCCAAATCTCACCCTCTCCAGACATGCAGCGACCCTCTCTTCTCCGCTCACACATACCATCAGGTCGCCACATTTCTGTAAGCCCCAGCTGCTGATCCAACAGGTAACGAGTAGACAAGTGCATCACAAGCACGCACAGTGACCGTCAGCAACAGTCCCCCCCGATCCCCACCTTTCCTCCCAGTAGCTCACACATACCATCAGGTCGCCACATGTCTGTAAGACCCAGCTGCTGATCCGGTAGCAACCAATAGTCCTGCCATGGCAAGGGGGGTAAGTGTGAGATATGGGGCAGAACGGGGAAAATGAGAGGGAGTGTGCGATATAGGAGAGAGAGAGAGTGTGCAGGGGTGAGCCACACAATGCCTGTGCCATACAATGCACAGTCTTACTGTGCTTCCCCCACACCACACAAGACTATTCGCATTCGCCCATGCCACACAGCTAGCTCCCATGCTCCCCACCTGACATTTCGCACGTTCAACACCTACATGTGACTCGGCAGGGGTGAGCCGCACGATGCCTGACTGCGCTTCCCCTGCTCGCCCCGCCCCCGCCCCTGCTTGGCCCCCTTCTCCCCCTGTCCCTGCTGCTCCTCCCCCAGGAGTATACCCTGCCCCTGCCCCTGCTCCTGCACCTGCCCCTGGCCCTGCCCCTGCTGCTCCTGCTGCTCCTGCTCCTCCAGGAGTATCAAGCACAGCAGGAGTGGTGTATGCTTGGTTGGGAGTTTGTGAATACGGGGGTTGCTGCAACTGCCCTGGCTGCCCCTGCTGCGGCTGCTGCTGAACCGGCTGACCCGCCTGAGAAGGTGCTGCTCCTTCGTACTTCTCCTCAAACCGGCTGTGGGGGCATGGGACATTGGGGGGTGGAATGCCACATGACAAACGCTTTTGAGACGTCTCAAAAACTCCTTCGTACTTCTCCTCAAACCGGCTGTGGGGGCATGGGACATTGGGGGGTGGAATGCCACATGACAAACGATTCACCATCACTTCTACTTCGTACTTCCCTTCTAACCCTGGGGCCAAAGGTTGTTCTTCCCTTCACTTTTGAATGCAATAACATCAGGTTCGGAAAGCAAGCATGCTTGTTACAAAAACAAAAAGTGAAGAAAGAGAAAAGGAAAAACGACACCAAAGCTCAACCTGAATCCACTAAGAGGGTGGATACGCAGCGTAGCACAGGAGAAAATAACAGAAGCACTCACCTGACCAGGTAGACATCGATAGGCCCACTGGTGCTCTTCAGAAGTATCTGGTACTTGCGCTGTGCAAAGCCCTGCTTGTTTGGGGCGGCAAGGTGAAAGGAAGGAATGAAACATGATTTCTGAAACAACATAGCTGGAAACCCAACAGCTCCACTGGTGCTCTTCATCAGTATCTGGTACTTGCGCTGTGCAAAGCCCTGGTACGGGCAGCAATGTGAGAAGGAAGGAAAGTCTCACAGTTTCTAAAAAATTCTCAGAACTCTGTACTTACTTGTGCCATGCAAATCTCTTTTACTATTTGCAAATCTTTTAGTTCTTCTTGCAGATCTTTATATATTTTAAAATCTTTATAAACATATTCTGTACCCAAAGCTTTGAAAGCTTCATAACCTGATGGCAGATTCAGAGGGTCTGGAGTCTTTAGGTCCATTTGTATTCTCCTATTTTTTTACTGATTGTTTTACGTCTAACGACCGAAAAGAAACAAGGCATTAAACCCCTCACTTTTTATAACATACGAACTATAGAGCGTATGTTATCTGTTACACCCTTGTGGGCCCACCGGCGGACCACTAAGGACATGTATTTTCATGGTTTTGATCGGGATGTTGTTGAATGACTGCAATGATGCATAATTAAATTTTATAACTCTTGGTCTTTTTTCTCTTTGACGAGCTCAAGAATGTTCTCACAAATTCTCGTAACTCCTAAAACACTACTTTTCAATCCTGATATGCTTAGTTCGAGATCGGATGTATCTTCTTTTAATGATGAGTCGAGTTTTGAGTCGACTCAAAAATTGACTCATCACACGCAAATTTCTCAGAACTCTGTGCTTACTTGTGCCATGCAAAGCAGCAAAGCCCTGAGAGTTTGGGGCATGGTGGTGGACACTGAACATCGAGGAAGGGACTTTACGGGTCGGCGGGGTTGAAACCTCACAGGTAACTATGAGGCAAAACATGTGGTGGTCTGATGCCAGGCAGCAGCTTACCTCTTCAGGGTCGGGTACTTCGAGCATGGTGCCGTGTGGTGCTCTGATGGCAATTAGGGTTTCGTTCTGTACAGTGTATTCACACAGGGACGCAACAAGGGGCATCTAAGCACAGTCGCCAGAAATACAGGCGCAAAAGCTCATAGCACACAGCGGTGGGAAACAACAAGAAGCAACCAACCAGAAATAAACAAACAGGCGAGGCTGCCTGGGCTTTTGTTCTGAGCGAGGAAAAAAAAGAAGGAAACCCAAAGATGAATCACCTGAAAGCACGGCAGATTCTTAATGTCTTCTTCTGTCACAAACATCCATCTGGAAGCATCCATACGACAAGCATGCAGACACACACACACAGGTTTTTATTGCACACAAATGCCAGAGGTCAAGACAAGACAAACGAATCACACGCATGAATTCCCTTGATAACTTTGTGTGTCATAACATTCCACCAGCCAAAGGTAGACGCACTTCAAACAACGAGAATGCATACAACTGAAAACATGCATGCAGCTGTTACATTTGGAACGTTAGAAAAAAACCGGAGGGCCCAATATCAAAGGTTCAAGCCAAGCGAGGTTGGGAAAAGCTTACTGTTTTCTCTTGTCATCCTCATTCAACAATCTTAAGCGCTCCCGCATGTCCCTGAAGGAACCAGCACCAGCACAACAAGTGACACAAAAACGCAGGTGAAGCTCTGGGTTTGATTTGAACCCTAGAAGGACTTGGTTTTAAGACCTTACAGACAAAAAAAAAGTGTAATTTTCCCTTTTGGAGTCCATCGACGTTCACTTTGGGATTTGCTAGAACAAAGCACTGAAGGCTCGAACAGGAGCACCATTTATGCAACAAAAGCTAACAGCCACGAGAAACCAAGAACCAGCTTCAATGTCGACTCAAGACTCACAAAAAATAAAAGGCTTCAACAAAAAAACAAACAAACAAACAAGGCACCAAATAGACAGACATTCCTCTCAGCACATTGATGATAGGCATGCAGTGTGCCAATGATCACTGATCCATGTGCGGTGCATGATAGGCATCAAATGGACAGACACCCCAAACCCTCAACGTACTTGATGCCATTGTCCAAACTCAACTCCTCCTCCCTTAGCCGATTCAACTCCGCCTGAACAAGTGGGGAGAGGAGCACAAGGAGGAAGAGAGCACAGGCGAACTGAGAACATTCAAGTCTTCCTTTGCGACAGACATGAGCAACGGGCGAACTCCAAACATGGTCGGTTCGCCCGAACATTTTTTGGGGATTAGGGGTGTTCGAGGTTAGTGATAGGGGGGCGAACACTGCATGTTCGGGGCGAACCCGAACATGTTCGAGGTTCGAGAGTGTGTTTTCAGTGGGCCAGCTCCTCACCCGTCGCCTCCCCTCCCTCCTTTTTGAACATCAAATATGTCCGGCTGAACATTTTTTGCCAAAATACATGTTCGGTTCGGTTCGGTCACAAACATGTTCGGACGAACCTAACAGGCGTTCGGATTTTCGGTCATGTCTGCTTTGCGATAGTAAACTAATTCACAAGCCCCATTTCCAGCAGACCTGATCCAGTGCATACCCATAGCCAGCAGAACGTAGTCAGTATGAGGCACAAGTTGATATCAGCCGGACCTACCTGTAAGATTTGTGAGTCTTCCTTGATGGTCGAATCGCACTCCAGGCCCCTGAAAAGACATAAGAAAATCTTGAAAATAATAACCAGCAAAAACGTTGTGAATGCATTCTAATGCACGCATACATGAGGATACATCAACACATGCATACATGGTGACAAACGCACATATCATCTGTCAATACATACCTTACATTCATCAAAACACCCCCGTCACATTGCATGCAAGCCACACATTTCCACCGTCAGCCACTCACTTCCACTGAATGTTGTTCTTCCCTTTCTTCTCAATCAACCCAATGCCTTCCAGAACATTCGTAATGTCATATATCCGCCGCTTTTGAACCTGAGCAGGGCAAAGCAACAGCCCAGCAGCATAGGAAGGAACCACCAACGCACCATGGGTCACGAGGTCACAATTTACATGTAAAGCTCTCCACCAGCAACGAACTCAGGGTTGCAACATCGTGTTGCACATTTGACACATTCGTGTTTCACGTCATAGAACCTCCGATTCGAAAGTGTCTTTTGAGGCGCCTCCGAAGTCACCTTGAAGATCACTACGGAACCAGCTGGTTTGTTTTGCTTTATTCGCTTGGTTTTTTTTTTGTTCGGCGCCTCAGAAGTTATGCCAGATATCCACTACACATTTAAATTCCAGGTTTACCTGGAGGGTTGACGCTGCAGTGTTCAGGTCCAATGTCCCATCATCTGAACCCTTTATTAGGTCGATGAATTTCTTCGTAAGAAGCCCTGCAAGGGAGGAACGGGACAGGGAGATCGGAGCGGAAGAGCGGAGGGTGGGTGGGGGTGGGGGAAGGGGTGTGGTGTGTGGGCAGATTTAGCAGAGAGCGAGTGAATAGAGGAGTTGATACAGCAACACGCTGCAAATGACCATCAGATATTGCAACACTATACCATATAAGTTGAATTGACTTGTTACAACCGTGTGTCTGCCTAACTCCATATGGTAGCACGGGGAGAGGCAAGCCAAACCTCTTACCAAGAGAGTTGTCGTAGCGGCATGCTGACTGCTGCTGCGGCTGACCCATGGGTCCTGCTGGTGAGTTGAGCCCCATACCCGCATCCCCATGCTCCCACGCTGCACCTATCACAAGGCAAAGCAGGAATGAAGAACAGATCCCAAGAAAAGAAAGAAACGATTAATCAATCAGCTAAAAAAGATGGCCCATGGGTCCTGCTGGTGAGTTGAGCCCCATACCCGCATCCCCATGCTCCCACGCTGAACCTGCAACAAGGCAAAGCAGGAAAGAATAACAAATTCCAAGAAAAGAGAGACAATTATGCAGCAAATTCCAAGAAAAGAGAGACAATTATGCAGCAAATTCCAAGAAAAGAGAGACAATTATGCAGCAAATTCCAAGAAAAGAGAGACAATTATGCAGCAAATTCCAAGAAAAGAGAGACAATTATGCAGCAAATTCCAAGAAAAGAGAGACAATTATGCGGCAAATTCCAAGAAAAGAGAGACAATTATGCAGCAAATTCCAAGAAAAGAGAGACAATTATGCAGCAAATTCCAAGAAAAGAGAGACAATTATGCAGCAATTTCCAAGAAAAGAGAGACAATTATGCAGCAAATTCCAAGAAAAGAGAGACAATTATGCAGCAAATTCCAAGAAAAGAGAGACAATTATGCAGCAAATTCCAAGAAAAGAGAGATAATGATGTAGTACATTCTAAGAGAAGAGAGACAGTGAAGAGAGACAATCATTGAGTCCTACTGGTGAGAGACCTCAACCGTACCCACACTGCCGAATCCTACCTTTTCCTCGTGCCATCTTGCGACCTCGCGTTGTGAGAGAGTCCTCCCCGTTGTTGAACCTTGGCCACGGCTCCCCCGTTGTCTGCACATGCAAGAAACCCGAGAGAATGGATGGCAGCACTAGAGTGCTTGGCCTCAAAGTTGTCACTGTGCAGTCTGTGGAGAATGCAGCTAAGGTTTTCGCTCATGCGCAAAAGAAGAGGCACGGATGATGATAGCTTGCTTGTGGTTTTTGCACTTGTGTTCAAGCAAGAGGTTCTAAGTCTGATCATGTTTATTTGCAGGTCCATTGAAAGGACAGACATGAACGAGGAGTCGTCATGCAGTCATGCAGTTTTCACCCTCAGGCTGAATGGCAAGAATCGGGTGAGTGATTATACAGTTTTGGGCAAAACTTGTGACACCTCTCACTATCAATCCTTCTCTTTCCTATCGGGTCACTGGCGAGACAATACATGGCATCCTCAACTTTATTGAATTGGCAGGAAGTGAACGAATCAAGAAGTTGAATGCAACATGATTGACATGGACAGAGTCCATCGTAAGCAGCTTCTGTTTATTGACAGATTTTGATTCCTTGTCCTCTTCCGTCACTGGTTATTCGCACTGTCCATCCTCCTCAATTCTCATCCTCAGATCTTATTTATTGCATTCACATTCATATGATCTCACGCGCACGGTCATATGAATGAGATCATATGAATATAAATGCAATAATAATATTTGAGGATGAGATTTGAGGAGGGGTGGACAGTGCGAATAAGAAGTGGAGGGAAGGGGACAAAGAATCAAAATTTGTCAATAAACAGAAGCTGCTTAAAATGGATTGTGTCCGTTTTGATTCAGTTGCATCCGTGTCGAGCACAATGGGAGCCATCCCGGACGAGTGGAGCATGACAATAACGAAAGCAGGTAGAGGCGAGTGGACGTGACAATAAGGGGAGGGCGGGAGAGGCGAGTGGGATGTACCTGGCCAGAGAGCACAGTGGGAGCCATCCCGGGCGCATTCTGTCGTAATGAATGCTCCTAAAACAGCACCCGCAACGCACAAATAAGAGGAGAAAGGGCGGGCTCTGGTGAGCGCACGAACACACATGAATGCGCTATGGAGAATGCGCACAAAAGCACACGAATTCACACAAACACGTGACTCTGTTAACAAGTGGCTATTGGAACGGCAAGGAAGAAAACAACGCTTAGCCGCAACGCCTGTGCTCCGAGACTGGGGCGGTACACCAGGACGGTGCGTTTTTCAAAATAGCCGTTCAAATTGTCAGGAACAGAAAGCATAAAGAAGAGGAGCTGAAGCGTTGGAGGAAATGTGGGCGCGCTCCGCCGTCCTTCCAAGTCGACTCAAAAGACGCCTGTCGAATCGGCTAAAACACCGCTTGATTCACCTGAGAAGTCATGCGAAGGACTTACAGAGAATTTCGCGACCAGGTACTCCTCCTCCCCTTGCCTGATTTACTGACCCCGCACCGTACGTTACCGAACCCCGCGTCTATTCTGTTTAGATAACCTAGAAGTCATCCGACGGACTTACGGAGAATTTCGCGACCAGGTACTCCTCCTCCCCTTGCCTCCCGTACTGGCCCGCCGCGTACCCTCCTCCCTGGTACACCGCGGGGTCCTGAAACTGGTGGTACGCATCGGGCGCCGCGAACGCCGGTCTCATGTGCGTGAACGGAACCTGGTACGGCTGACCCGCGTACGAGTAACTGGACATGCCTGGTCCCGAAATGCCTGGCCCTGACATTCCTGGGCCTGAAATGCCTTGTGCTGAGAGGCCACCCGCTGTTGAAATGCCTGAGAGCGGTGCTGCTGACATGCCTTGTGCTGCCGACATTCCTTGCGGTGCTGCCATGCCTTGCGATGCTGCCATCCCTTGTGGTGCTACCATGCCTTGCGGCGCCATGCCTTGTGCTGACATGCCCTGAGCTGCTGTCATCCCGTGAGCTGCCATAGCTTGCGACGGATAAGGCTGAGCTACGGATCCGTGGTCTATACTCACACCCCTATGATCCATACTCATTCCCCTATGATCCATACCCATAGTCCTGTGGTCCATGACCATACCCTCCCCCTGGATGTATGGCCTAGGCGCCATAAATGCAGGGTTACTATTGGGATTAGCCATTCCGCGCAAGGTCTAGAGCTGCATTTGTAGGGAGGAAACTCCCGTCTCGAGCAACTTCCGTTATACTAAAACGGCGAGTACTAACCTAAAAATTTATCCTAACTAAGCGTGCTGCCATGATCTGGGATCCGACGGCCTAAACGAAGCAAAAATAATGCCCTTCTTACGAAGAAATAAGAATCCAATCACACGCGCTAAAAACGCTGCGAATCAACTCGAAGCCTGCTAACACACTATTCTATTCATTGGGGTACAGCGATCACGTAACGAAACATGGCGCAGCGATCGAGGCACCATGAGCTGTAAAATACGGAAAGCAGATAAACCAAATCAGTGATCTGCGCAAAAGTACAGAATAGTTCTCCCAAAAGTATTTCTCCCCCCTGCCACCTAGGTTTTCCCTCCAAGGCAAGGGGGAGTGGAAAGAGAGGGAAAAGGGGGAGGCCAACGTGTGGCGGGGGAGGGAAACCCTGGGAATGGGTGAAATCGCGAGGGAAACTCCTAGGCTCCTCACGCGCGGGCCTTCGCAAGCTCGCATGCGTTCTCGTTAACCGCATGTTACTCACCGTGTGCTGTCGCCAATGCGCATTTCTGGCGACAGGATGACGAGGACGGTGCTTTCCTTGAATGTTGTGTGGGGGCGAAAAAGACAGCCTGATATCCGACGGCGATCTGGCTGCCACGTGGAGAGACACTTGTGGGTGGTTTTGGTCTGTGTCAGATGTGCTGATTGGCTCCGTACCTAGGAGGGAGGTGTTGAAGTGGTGTGCTAGTCAGGATCCGCGGGGTCCCCGTACCGACGGACCCGAACCAGGGTTTGGGTCAGGGGTGTGGCCCGACGACACAGCGAGAGCAGCACAGACACAGATGAGCAGGCCTCAGCGAAAAATAACACCTCGGAACCAGCTTCCGCGGCGAGAGCATAAACATTTCGCTAAGCTGATGTGGGAAGAGCAAAACGATCCCGCCAACCGGATTCGAACCAGTGACCTAAGGATGGCTCATCTACAATCCTCCGCTCTACCAACGGAGCTATAGCAGGACGCTCCCAGATGGACACTAAAATTCAGGACACAAAGATTAAAAATTATGTAAGTTCACCACATAGCCACGTGTTTATTTTGTGCTTTATGCCCCTTGTGCCAGCTGGTGGGCATTCACCACACTAGTTGCATTCGACGTAGAGGCTCGAGTCGCACGTTGCCGCACACGCAACCACCGCTATCAGCATGGCGCGACACGGCTTATCGAGCCCTCCTCCACAAGATGCTGCTCTCTTCCCCGACCCTGTTTTTCATACAAGATCCAACCCGCTCCACCTTACTATTATCCCAAGCCATCCTTTCGAATTCCTTCCGGTTTTCTCAAGTCTTTTCCGCAAGCACGACTCACTTCGTCCCTTACATCCACACGCTACCAAAGAATCACCCGTGGTGCTAAACCTGGTTGTTAGCTAGTACCGCTAAACTCCCCTCCTGTGTAACCCAGTTGTCAGCAACCGCGATCTACTTTTCCGTGTAACCCGGTTACCATGGCGAGCATGAAGCAGAAGGCGGGCGACATGATGTCCGCGGCGAAGGAGAAGATGTCCGAAGTCAGCGCGAAAACCGGCGAAGCCGTCGCTAAGGGCAAAGCTGAAGTCCAGGAGAGCATTGACAAGGCGCGGCATCCGGGGAGCCGGGAGGCGCGCGCGGTTGCGGACGCGAAGGAGGCGCAGCGGAAGGAGCGCGCGGAACTGGAGAAGGAGCGCAAGATCGCGGGCGCGATGGAGAGGGAAGCCGCGGAGAAGGAGGCGCGCCACGAGAAGCACGGTGTGATGGGCGCTGGCACTGGTACAGGTCACGAGTACGGAACGACGACTGAAACTGGTGCTGATACTGGTACCGGATATGGCGCTGGTACTGGTACTGGTGGTAGTCCTGGCACGGGGTATGGCGCTGAGAGGAGAGGGGGAGATTATGGCGCAAGGGCGGAGCATGGGTATGGCATCACTGGCATGACTGGGCATGGCGCTGGTGTCATTTCGGATCCCACCCATGGTGCTACCACTGGTCATGGCTCTACCACGGGTCACGGCACAGGGCATATGGGCACCACTGGTGCCGCGCAGGTGGGCCACAGCACAGAGGGCACGGGACTTGGTGGGACTGCCAGTGGTACTGATACCACTGGTGGAACTACTGGTCGCAGGCATGTGTTTCAGTAAGACTGGTGGCTGTTTTGAGGCGTCAGACTAGTTGCTGCTGTTTCCAGACGTGTGTGAACTTCACTAGGCGTGGGCTGGACTCTGGACGTGTTTTTGAGACTTCACTGGGCATGGCAGCTGCATGGAGCATGGGCTGGGCGCGTCAACCCTCAATAAGAGGTGGGAGTCATTGGAAGACTACGTTACCCTCGATAAGAAATATTTCCAAGCTAGTGCTAAGCAGGTGGTGCATGATACAGAGATCATGGCTGCATGATAACCGTGCCGCTGGCGGTGGTGTCCGCTGGCGGTGGTGTCCGCTGGCGGTGGTGTCCGCTGGCGGTGGTGGCCGCTGGCGGTGGTGGCCGCTGGCGGTGGTGGCCGCTGGCGGTGGTGGCCGCTGGCGGTGGTGGCCGCTGGCGGTGGTGGCCGCTGGCGGTGGTGGCCGCTGGCGGTGGTGGCCGCTGGCGGTGGTGGCCGCTGGCGGTGGTGGCCGCTGGCGGTGGTGGCCGCTGGCGGTGGTGCCCGCTGGCGGTGGTACCGTATCCCCTTCCAGCTAGAGTACAAAAGCTGCTTGGTTTCTCGAATGCTGTACCGTATGTTGTGTAAATAGATGGGTACCAGTAATGCTGGAGGCTGGGTGTAGTACTGTCATGTACAGCTGCTTCTGCAATGTTTGTACCTATCTTTGTGCAAAGATTCCCCCACTGAAATTCTTTTCTGTCATCCTGATTCTTCTGACTATACAGCTCGGTTGGAACACCATAACATTTGCCTGCTTATAATAACAAAGAAAACATTTCTGCATCTGTTACAATGTAACATCCGAACATGTCAGACTGTACGGTTTCTTTCATTTAAAAACTACATCAGAGCGTAGCACGTATTTCACTCCTGCCTTCACCGCTCTGGCCTCATGCAGCAAGCACCTGGCCCCGTGACGGTGCAGCAATGCCATCCCCACCTCTGGACTTACCTGCAGGGAGGATGGCACGGGAGGAAAAGGGGGAAAAAAGGGAGACAGGGACAACAGCAGGGGAGGAAAAGAGGAAACAGAGGCACAATGGTTTTCCACCAGCCTTACCTTCCCTGGTTTCATGCAGCAAGCATATGGCCCCGTGGTGATGCAGCAGTGCCATTCCCACCAGTTGATCAACTGTAAATGACCTTTTCTTGATCTCACCAGTTGAACTCTAAGAACTAACTAGTCTCACCTCGAAGCTCTCCTGTGACCGTGCCCCCACATAAAACACTGTCTCCCCTCCCACCAATTGCTCCTGCATCTGCTGCTGCTGCTGCTGCTGTTTCCCCCCTCCACCCTTCCCTCTACCTCCTGCTACCCCCTTATCTCTCCTCCACCGCCCCTCCCCTCCATCTCCCTCCCTCTCTCCCTCCCCAGCCGTCCCCTCTCCATCCCCCTCTCCCCGTTCCTCCCGGTCCCCCTCCACCCCAACCCCACCTCCCCCCCCTTCCCCCCCTTCCTCCCCATACCCCTCCTCCCCATATCCTCCCCCCTCCTCCTCCTCTCTCCCCTCCCACGAAGAAGGAGCGCCAGAGAGATACACCAGCAGTGTATACTCTGTCCTTCCTCCCCCCGCTACAGTCACGCTCTCGTCTATGTGCGCCCCGAACTGCTGGCCTCGGCTGTAGCGGTAGACTCGCATGTTGGGGTTCAGACGCACCGCCTTGCGGTTACCAGCTTGTAACGGCTGTAGCACTGGGGCGAGTCGGTCCCATAAATGCGCTGGCCAAGCAAAAATAAAAAGAATAAAAAAAGCCCACACACGCACACACACAGAGGGAAAAGAAGGACGAGAGTCAAATGGGGGGGTTGAAGTGTCAAGGTTTGTAGCTTGCATTGCTACAGCCAGTCACGCTCTCGACTATGTGTGCGCGAAACTGTTGGGCCCGGCTGTAGCGGTAGACACGCATGTTGGGGTTCAGACGCACCGCCTTGCGGTTACCAGCTTGCAGCGGCTGTAGCACCGGGGCGAGCCGGTCCCACAGGTGTGCCGCCCGTTGAAAAGAAAAGGGAAAAATGGCAGGAAGGAGACGGTAGAGAGGGTGAGAAGAGGGTGAAGCGTCGTGGCCTTGCAGTAACCGGCTTGTAGGGGTTACTTAACCTGAAAACAACCGGGGGGCAAACAAGGGTTGTGTCCGTCACACGTCACTCACTCACCTTAACGCTCTCCCCTGTCCTTCCCCTGCGACTCACCCTGACTCATGCTCGAGACATGAGACGACTTTTGAGGCGCCTCAAAAGTCCGTCACACGTCACTCACTCACCTTACCGCTCTCCCTTATCCTTCCCCTGCGACTCACCAGCCAGCTCAGGGTCTTCAATGGATATCCGGTGGCTGTCTTGGTACATACCGCCCCCTTGGGGGTTCCTTCTGACTCGCACATACCGTACCGCTCTCTCTCATTCTTCCTCCGTGTGTTGCTTCCGCCATGACTCACCAGCCAGCTCAGGGTCCTCAACGGATATCCGGTGGTTGTCTCTATACGCCTCGCCCTTAGCTGGACCGCCACTGCCCTGCCACTGGAACCCCACGCGCTCCGCCTGCGCAATGAACTCCGCGCATTCCTCCGCGGAAAGCGCTCCTGGTACCTAGCAGGTTGCGGAGAGGGGGGGGGTATCAGTGCGGGAGTGGGGGAGAGGGGGGGGAATCTGAATGCGCTGTCCTGCCACTGGAACCCCACGCGCTCCGCTTGCGCGATAAATTCCGCGCATTCCTCCGGGGAAAGCGCTCCTGGTACCTAGCAGAAGTGCGGAAGAGTGGGTGGAAATGGGAGGTCGAAGGAAAAGAAAGAGGCAGAATGAAGAATAACGAGTTTGCGAAGTGGAAAATACAAATATTTCTATTATTTCGGATCACGGAGCTCGTGACTAGAGCGAGCGTCGGGGTGAGCTCACAGTGAACACTTCGCAGCCACGGATTAGTTGCGGCGTCAAGTCGCGGTGCCGTCTCAGCTTTGGCCAGGAAATGCGCGTGGAGGGTACGATAGGAGGCGCGCCTCCGCAATATTCTTGCTGCTGCTTTTTCCCTTTCTTTGCCATCTTGTGCCGATACTGCCGGGATTTACGGCGGAGAACGAGGAGAATGTGGAAAGACGGACGCATTTGTGGGAGGAAGGCAGGAAGGTGGGTTGTTGGTTGATTTGACTCTCGATGTAGCGCGTTTCGTTTCGCGTTTATGGTTCTTGAAGAAATATAGGCTACAAAAGCGGTCTAGCTCGAAAGTTTCTTCCAGCCAATGTTTGAGGATCAGAGGTCCAATTTTTTCCCGCCAACTTCATTTTGGGATATGGGGCGGTGATTCGTCAGAGAGCGCTCCGCTGACGAAATCAAATCGAGGGACCGCTACACTGACGGCTACAGTTCGTGCTTCGCCGCGAAAAACAAAAACGACCAATCCGAGTCTTCGTTTGAAGCTGCGACCGTCACCTCGAGCAGCGACTTCATCCACACGTCATACCACATGGTCGACCCGAATTTACTCTATCCACCCATCCATTTTGCCATCCGTCTCTCGCCTCCCGTTCTGGTTGACAATCCCAAGGTTTACGGCAACCCGTCGCTTGGTTTGGTTTCTCTCAGGCCGGTGAGGGATCTAGTCTAGTCTCCTAGACTTGCGTTCATATTTCCTTCTTGCCAGTCTACCGTTAATTTGAGCCTGAGTCGCAACCTTGAGCTCTCTGTAAGCTTTAGTGCCTTTGGGTAATCTGTAGTGTCCGACGTTCACAGCACTTTGGGTTTGCCCTCTGTGGGCTAGTCTGATTCCATAGAGTCCTTGCGTTCGTACTCAGTGTTTCCTCGCCAGGGTTACAGATTTCGTTTTCTTCCTTTTCTTCTGCACATGGGCTCATCTAGTAACCATCACCATCCAGAGGAGCATTCTCCGTCATCTCTCGTCGAATCCACCGATCTAGCTGAAACGATGAGTGGTCCAACTAGAGCCGTGGGAGGAGGTTTTCCCAGTAAAGCTGACGGCGAAACTCCCAGGAATCTTGAAAAAGCCGGTGAATCTACTTCTCCTCCCGGCTCTGCTGAACGGCCGGAAGTATCAGGCGATGTCGGGAATGAGCTGAACGAGACGGTTGCCAGTCAAGCAGACGGCGAGGTTGCCGGTCAGTCAGGAAGTGAAGACGGAAGCCGTCGCCGAACTCCGTTTACGGAGAATAGCCAGTTGGAGGCCGACTTGGCTCTCGCTCGTGCGATTCAGGAACAGGTAAGCTTCGCATTGATCTGCGAAGGACAGATAGGCTTCATCTGAGGACGACTGTAGGCTTTGCACTGATCTCAAGAGGACCGGTAGACTCTGCGCTGATTAAACGAGGGAACCTGTTCAGTAACTAGTCCTTCAGTCCTTGATGTCGTCATGCAGTTAAGGATTTAGCGGGCTGCACTGAGGAAAAAGAGGACAAGCTTGACCTTACTAGAAATCTGTTTATGTCTTGATTTCCGGTCGCTGTTTTCATCCTCCGTCTCTTTCTTTTCGTGTTTCCAGGAGTGTGCTTTTATGATGCTTTACCACCAGCAAGCATTAGCAGCAGCGTCGGCGTCAGCCTCCGGCTCTCGCGCTGGTTCTAGAGGCAGCTCCAGACGGCTTCAAGGCCGTCAAGACCGTCAAGACCGTCAGGACCGTCAGACAGGCTCGTCGGTAGATAATCCCATTGTGCTGCTGAGCGAGGGAGAGGAGCTCGAAGCAGACGATCCCGATGACGAGGAGGAATTCGCGGATGCGGACGACGATGAGTACGGCGAATGGGAGGAAGCCAGCGAAGACGATGGCGAAACGGGCGAAGACGGCGAAATGGGTGAAACTGGCGAAAGAGGAGGCGAGGCTGCGAACGAAGTCTGTCGCGAGTCGAGTAGCGCCAGAAGTACGTCGCTGCAGCGACAGCTGTTTCAGAACGGCGGCAGCGAAGCCGAGACCTCTGGGAACCCGTCAGGTGTCCTCAGGGGAGAAGCAGCGCGGCAGGGAGCTGGGGAAGGAGAGGAAGGGAGTGCAGGAGGGGAGGCAGGGGAGGGAGGGGAAGGAGCGTACGAGGACGACGAAGCGTTTGCTCGTGCGTTGCAGGAGGAGGAAGAGCGCGAGATGGCGCGCAGGCTGTTCGCCATGGCTGGGCTGCAACTGAGCGATGGTCGAGGTACGTGACAGACTCACAGTCACCAACGGTGACTACCAGCCCGTAATTGCTCGCCTCTATGCTAGTGATGCGTCCAACATTCCATCAATACCATGTCAGGTAGGCTCTACAAGAGAATCCCACCTGGTAACTCTTTATCCCCCGTCCGTCCTCTTCATTTTCCTCCTCTTTTACGGTTTCCAGGGTCTAGCTCGAGGAGAAGAGCGGAGATGTTAGCAGCAGCGCATGGCGTCGCGTGGCCTTTCGGCGAGGGAGAGGTGAGCTGACTGTAAGTGATGTGAGTGGCCTTTTGATGAATTACCAGAGTGGTTTGGCTAGAGTGCGAGGTGACTTGGGAATGGAATCAAGAATGGCTTCCCTAACAGGGGGATGGCAGAATGTGGTAGGGAGGTGGGGTTTGTTGAGGCACTTGTGGGCTGATAGTTAGGTCAAATTCCGTGAGAAGTGGATGAGGAAGTTGGTGATTCGAGGCAGAAGAGGAGAGGGGAGGACGCGCTCATGCGTGTGCAAAGTAGGGGCATTCAACCTCCTCATTTTTTGGCAGCGAAAACTGTTTGCTATGTCTGTTCCTTTACCCTGTCTGATCAATTTCACTCGTGTTATGGGCGTTTGCTGGGCTTGCAGGGCGATGAAGAGTCGGAGGAGGAGGATTCAGAGGAGGAGGATGGGCAGGACGAGGATGCACTGGACGTGGACGAGATGACGTACGAGGTGAGATTTCTATTTTTCAGTTGACTGAGAAATAGGATACGGAGGAGGAGGAGGAGGAGGAGGAGGAGGATGAGGAGGAGGAGGATGCACTGGATGTGGACGAGATGACGTATGAGGTGAGTGAGAGATTGTCTTTTATGCTTTCTAACCAGTCTTCCAAAAGCATGTTAGACCCATCCGATATCTGACATGGCCTTAACCCTTGGCCTGAATAGCATGGCATGGTGCCATGGTATGGTGCCATGGCATGGTATGGTATCAGATTTTGTAGTGTGAGGAAGCAAGCAGGCAAGACGTGTGATTTGAGGCACCAGGGTTCGCAGTGCGATTTGAGGTGCCGGGATACATGAATTGTTCCCAGTTCTGGAAGAAGTGCAGAGCAGCTCACAGTTCTCATCAATTGTCACTAGGGTGTGTCCAGGAAAAGAAAACCCATCTCTTGTTTTATTACCCGTCACTCCTTTCTGTTGTGTGTGCTGTGCAGGAACTGACTGCTCTGGGAGAGGTGATTGGAACAGAGAGCAAGGGGCTGGCACAAGCAACCATCAACGCACTGCCACGTGTCGCATACAGCACCAAGAGCCCTCTGAGGCGAGGCGAGGACATGTAAGATGCCTGCTGAATTTCAGATTACCAGCTCTGTGCACAGATACAGCTCCGAAACACCATGTTGCATGTTCATGTCGTTCTGATCCAAAACCCCTTTGCAGCTCGCATGTTCTGATCCGTGATGTCCCAACCACCACTCTTTCCCTTTCTCCTCTGCTGTAGTATTGCTATTTTTGAGGCGCCAGGTGGCATTTTTGTATCTGGTTTTCATGTGGCATTTTTTTTCCCAAGGGGTTCCATTTGCCAGCTGAAATGTGATCTGTTTGAGGCACCTCAAAAATACGCTGGCGTATTTATTCCTTGTGGGGCATTTTGTCCCTCAGGTGTGCCATTTGCCAACTGGAATATGAAGAAGGGGAGGAGTTGCTGCTGCTGCCACCATGCCACCATTCATATCACGAGGCCTGTGTCCTCCAATGGCTGGGGCGGAACAAGGTGAGGCTCTAACCTTTGAACGGACTTAGGAACAATGGTTGGGACGGAACAAGGTGAGTATGGGAAGGGGAGTTGCTGCTGCTGCCGCCGTGCCACCAGTGGCCTCCAATGGCTGGGGCGGAACAAGGTGGGATTTATTACTTTGAGTTGACTTTACAGCAGTGCTAGGGACGAATCACGGTGAGGTTTGAAGTCGAGTGAATCAATGGGGACGGAGCAAGGTGATGTTGTGTTTAGCTTTGACTGAAGACAACAATGCCTGACAGAACCAAGTGTGAGACTTGTCAATTTTGTTGGGTGTCCCTTGATTTTCTTGGCTCATCCTGCCAATGGTTTCTTTATTTCTTCAAGTTGCTGGCTACACGGAAGTGTGCTGGCTGGTTGCTTGTGGATGCTGTTGCCATCGTGCTGTTGTGTATGAAGAAACCAGTTTTTTTTCACATCTCATGCCCATCCTTGTTTTATCCATGTGGCAGGTTTGTCCTGTCTGCAAGGAGGAGGTGCAACGGCCCTCAAAATAATCTTACTACAACTGCACAAGTGTTTGACAGCCGTTTTTTTAAATAGATACAAACTTATGTAGACTAATCATTGACCTAGGGGCTTTGTTTGATACGAGTGAGTTAAATGGATATAAAAGGTTTTCAGTGGAGTTATTCTCGCATATCAACAATACCGCGGACGGCCGAGTGCTGCTGGCGAAAAACAGGGGCAAACTTGCACAGTAGAGGCACTGGCTGAACTCGATTCCGTGCCTGCTTGGGCCGGACACTCTCACTGTCATCCCCTATATCAGCCACTCCGTTGTCCACTTCAACAATTCATAGGCGCGCGCGACCTTGCCCGAGAGAAGAGTGTGTCTGTGTTACTGCCGTGCTTTGAAGCCACTCACCCGCTTGACCGTTGGAAACGCACCCACCGCCGCGAAGCGATTAAAGGATCTGAAAGGTTTAGGATTTAGCGAGGCGCCGTGATTCGTAAGCCGCATGCAGCGGAGGACCGGATCACGGAGGCCGAAGGAAGTACATTAACACCGTTTTAAATTGCCTCGAAAATCGTACGCAGCACTCGCACGGCCGATAGTCGGGGCGGAGCAGAACCGTAGAGAGCGCACATTGTTTCACACTTCGATAATCAACTCTCGCGACCCTGAGTCAACGCGCGGGCAATAGGTGGTTTTGAGTGAAGTTGGAAGTCAATTCCCGATACTTCCGCAGTCATCGCTCGTAATCGCTAGTCGGCGCGCAGGCAAGAGGAGCCGGATCACGCGGCGGCCATGCAACATGATGACGTCATCTGGGGCCTTGTCGGGAAGGGTCCCTGCAGTTACCGAGTCAAGTACGATTCTCTTGAACCTTATCCGTAAAAAACGGATATAAAAGCTGAGGTTTTTCTTTCTATTCGCTCTTTAATCTGTACGTATCGGCAAGCCAGCGATATCGAAGGATCTTGACAAGGGTTCCGAAGGGTTCAGGGTTTCCCAGCGATTTAAGGAATCGTGTCAGCTATTGCTGAGTTGATTTGTGAGCGCGCACTTTCCGTGTGCCGGCCAACCGGTGTTGTGTGCCACGTGTATCACCCCTCTGTCCGCCACGTGTCACCCCTCTGCAGGCAGCAAACGGACACGTTCTGCAGACACCCGTTCAACCTGAACGCCATCTGCAAACGTGGCGTGTGCCCATTGGCCAACAGCCGCTACGCTACAGTGCGCGAACACGACGGTAATGCGTTGATTCAGCCCCCTCAGTACCCTCTCCTCCCCTTATGTCTCTTAAACCCTTACGTCTCTTCCCACGGCTCCTCCCCTCGTCGTCTTACCCCCCACCTTTCCCCCTTTCCTCGCATTCCCAATGTTATCGCTATAACTTAATCTCCCGCATCTGCTGATTTTCCTGCCTTTCCCCACATGTATGTAGGCGAGCTGTTTCTGTACATGAAGACCATTGAGCGAGCTCACATGCCCTGATTCGATTCGCATGCCAACCGTATCCTACCCTTATGACCATGCTTGATGACCATGCTTGATATTTTGAGAATCCTCTTTTGAGTCGCTTTTGAGAATTCTCAAAAAACTACCCTTATGACCATGCTTGATATTCTCACTTTCATCACTACCATACGTGCGGGCAGGCGAGTTGTTTCTCTACATTGAGCGGGCGCACATGCCCAACGTGCCCTGTTGACCTTTTTGTCTCTTCTCCCACCTACATGCACACAGGCGAGCTGTTTCTGTACATGAAGACCATTGAGAGAGCACACATGCCCAACAAACACTGTTGACTTTTTTGTCTCTTCCCCCTAACCCCCTCCCCCCCCCCCCCCCCTCTCTCTCTCCCCCCCCCCCCCCCCCCCCACCCCACACACACACAGGCGAGCTGTTTCTCTACATGAAGACCATTGAGAGAGCACACATGCCCAACAAATTGTGGGAGCGCGTGAAGCTTCCAAGAAACTACACCAAGGCACTGGAAGCCGTGGATAAGTTTCTGGTGAGTGGGTTGTGAATTCACGGAGCCACCACGAGATAGAATCTTATCCACGAGATAGAATCTTATCCACGAGATAGAATCTTATCCACGAGATAGAATCTTATCCACGAGATAGAATCTTATCGACGAGATAGAATCTTATCGACGAGATAGAATCTTATCCACGAGGTAGAATCTTATCCACGAGATAGAATCTTATCCACGAGATAGAATCTTATCCACGAGATAGAATCTTATCCACGAGATAGAATCTTATCCACGAGATAGAATCTTATCCACGGGGTAGAATCTTATCTCGTGGTAGAATCTTATCCACGGGGGGGGGGGGGGGGGGGGACCTCGTGGTGAATCAACTCATCAACAAGCTTCCACGGTTTCCCCCCCTCCTGGTTTTGATGCCCCTTAGGTTTTCGATTCGCCTCAAAAAAGCCACTGGACTGGAGGGAGTGGACAATTTTCTGGTGAGTGGGTGGTGAATGAACCAACTAAGGCACTTATCGACAAGCTTTCACGGTCCCCCCCCTTCCTTGGATCATCGTCCGTTCCCCTCCTTTCCCTTCCCCCTTCCCCCCACCCCCCGCATTGTTGCAGCAATGGGGGGCACCCCGCATGGTCTCGCTGGTGAAACTCCGGTTGACTCGGTTGACCGGGGCAACCTTCCCCCATCCCCTTCCCTCCCCTTCCTTCTTCTTCCCCTCCCCTCGCCTCCCAGCAATGGTGGCCGCCCCGCATGGTCTCGCTGGTGAAGCTCCGGTTGACTCGGTTGACTCAGTACCTCATCCGCATGCGCCGACTGGCTGTGAAGATACAGTGAGTGGATGATATGTTATTACTGGTACACGTGTATCTGTCATGTGTGAATGCACATGTATGTTGATGCCTCGTATCAACGTCTCACTCCCTACTCGCCTGACTCGCCCGATTGACTCGCCCGCCTGACTCGCCCGACTGACTCGCCCGATTGACTCGCCCGCCTGACTCGCCCGATTGACTCGCCCGATTGACTCGCCCGATTGACTCGCCCGCCTGACTCGCCCGATTGACTCGCCCGATTGACTCGCCCGATTGACTCGCCCGCCTGACTCGCCCGATTGACTCGCCCGATTGACTCGCTTTCTACACTCCCCTCCCCTAACCACTCAGGCCCAAGCTGGTGACGATGCCGACAAAAATGAGAAAGAGGGATGAGAAGAGGGAGGCCAAGGCAGAAACGGCCGCCAAGATTGACAGAGTGAGTCAAGGGGGCATGGTAGTGCTCGAGCACGATGTGTGTGTGTGTGTGTGTGTGTGTGGGTGTGTGGGTGTGGGTGTGTGTGTGGGTGTGTGTGTTTGTGTGTGTGGCTCTGTGTGTGTGTGTGTGAGGGGGGGGGGTGTGCGCACAATCTCATTGTTTCTATTCTTGTATTGTCCTCAACTTTCCAGGCGATTGAGAAGGAACTGCTGCAGCGGCTACAGAGCGGAACGTACGGCGAGCTTTATAACTTCCCACTGAAGCAGTTCCAAAAGAGGATAGAGGAGGAGGAGAAGGAGGAGCAGGAGGACGGACCGGTAAAAAAGAGAGTGAAGGTGGTTGGAGGGGAGGAGGGGGTAGAGGACAGAGAAATGGAGGAAGAGGAAGAGGAGGAGGAGGAGGAGGAGGAGGAAGAGGAGGAGGAGGAAGAGGAGGATTATGAGCCTCAGGTGGAATTTGTTGAGGGGTATGACTTAGAGGAAGAGGAGGATGATGAGGAGATTGAAGATATGGGAGATAGACTGGCGTTGCCTGGGCGTGGGAGGAGAGGAGAGGATGATTATGGAGAGGAGGACGAGGAAGAAGAAGAGGAGGAGGAAGAGGAGGATGAGGAGGAGGAGGAGGAGGAGGAGGAGAGGAAGAGGAGAGGAGGATGAGGAGGAGGATGAGGAGGCAGAGGACGAAGCGGAGTTGGAGTTTGAAAGGAGTGTGCAGGCGAGATGGGGAAAGCAGCAGGCAGCAGCAGGAAAGGGAGCAGCGGCAAGGGCAGGGGCAAGGAAGGGTGGTGCTGGTTCTGCGGCTAGAGGGAAGGGGGCTGCTGCAGGCAAAGCCGGAAGGAGAAGACACATCGAGGTGAGAGTGAGTTTACAATGGTAACCCAAGGAGTTGGATTTTTTTGTTTGTTTGTTTGTTTGTTTGTTTTTTTTTTTTTTTTTGAGTTAAAAGGAAATGATGCAACAGTGTTGAGCAGCTGTTTCCTCTTGTTGAGACGTATGGAGAGTTAATTTGGATCAGCTTTTCTGCAAATAAACACTTTCTCACAACTTTGCTATTCCAGTTTTTTTTTCTCCAACTCCTTCTCCCCCTCCTCCATCCCCCTCTCTTCCTCTCCGCCCTCTCCCCCCTTTCTTTTCCATGCTATCCGGCTTTCCTGTGTCGCTGCACCCTCTTTCCCAGCTGGAATACGAGGAGGAGCGGGAGCAGGCACATGCATACAACTTCTGATGCAATGCAATGCATTTTGAATTCATCAAAAGCTCGCCTCTCTACCAGCGGGAGCAACATCGGTATTCATCAGTTGCATGTGCACTGATGATGCGTTATGATCTACAAATGTACTCCAAGAGTCGGTTTGATTAGAGGGAGAGCAGCAGCCACAAGTTTTTGTGATAGCACAATTGTTTTGCATGGAAGGGCCTTTGAGTGATTGAGAGCAGCCTTATGAGGTATCACAAGAACTTCTGCTGCTCTCAATTGGTACCTCAAAAGTTTAATTGAGAGCAACCGGACAAGAGGGCTTGATGTCATTGGTATGCTAAAAAAAAACACAACCACGAAGACAATCCCGGAACACAGGACTCATACAATCACGAAGCATGACTTATGAGTCGACTAAAAAATTCGCGGAAGACAGGACTCATAAAATCACGTAGCATACTAGAGTGTGTCATATGCGGTCAATGCCTATATCCAAACTCTGGTCGTTCAGCAACAAGCTGGCAGCAATCTGTATGTCCACTGACGATAATGTTGATGCCTTAGCCGCGAGGATAGCAAGCCGCGAGGATAGCAATAAGTGACTACACTCTGTCAACCTCATGTACGATCGATGCCTATATCCAAACTCTGGTCATTCAGCAACACATTAGCAGCGATCCGTTTGTCCACTTTGGTTACTCCGAGGCATAGTAACACAGTAAGTGTCTGCAGCTTGTCACGTGCGGTCGATGCCCATATCCAAACTCTGGTCATTCAGCAACACATTAGCAGCGATCCGTTTGTCCACTTTGGTTTTCCGCCGCTCCTCATACTGAGCGTACCCCTCCATCTGCTCGAATTGCTCCAGTGTAACCGCGTTGCCACGTAGGGTAACCGTGTGTAACCGCTGACACTTGACCAATATTTGGGCTGGAAGCTGTGTGAATGGGTGAAGGAGAAGTTGCAGGATGATAAGGAAAGGGAGGGAGGGGTGGAGGAGGGGAGGGAGGGGGGATGAGAGGCGGATGAGAGGTTTGGGATAACATTGGCAGCAATGCGTTTGTCCACTTTAGTTTTCCGCCGCTCCTCGAACCCAACGTACCCCTCCATCTGCTCAAACTGCTCCAATATGTTTCACATTGCCCCATAGGGTAACCGCGTGTAGCCACTGGCACTTAACTAAAAGCTGGGCTGGAAGCTGTGTGAATGACGGGGTGAGGAACAAATCGGGGAGGGGTTGGCGGAGGGATTAGGGAATCTGAAAGGGTTTAACATGCGCCAGTGATTTAGTTATCCAGTGCAAAAGTGCGACAGAGCACCCATTATAAGACTTTCACGTGTAGAAAAGGGAGGTTAACATACGTCAGTGAGTCGGTTGTTATCGAGGGCGAGAGTGCGAAGGTCGGATAGTTGAACCACTGAAGGGGGGAGACCTGCAATGCGATTGTCTGAACAGAGGAAGTGTGGAGGGTGAAGAAGTGGAACGGAGGAGCAGGAGGAGGTTGAAGGATGGAAGAAGGGGGGCATCACAGATGCAGTCTGATGTTGCAGCATTAACCAGCATTAAAAAGGCGGTATATTGTAGCAAGGCATATTGTGGAATGTAACGAGGAACCTTGTAATGGGATACCTTGTAACGAGATTTCTTGAAGAGCAGAGCAGCTACCGATGGTGGGTGGTAGGCTGGAGAGACAGTTGGAAGAGACGTCTAGAGTGACCAACTGGCAAGGAGGGAAGTCATGAAAGAGATGGGCAGGGGGAGGAGAGTTTTGAGATGCCTCAGAACTTGAAGAGCGGAGCAGCTATTAACGGTGGGTGGGAGGCAGGGAAAGAAGTTGAAAGAGACGTGTGGAGTGACCAACTAAGGAAAGGGGAGGAAAGGGGAGGAAAGGGGAGGAAAGGGGAGGAAAGGGGAGGAAAGGGGAGGAAAGGGGAGTGAAAGAGACGTGTGGAAGGGGAGGCCCACACGGCGGGTGGAGAAATTGATGGAACCAAACGGCGGGTGGTAAGGGATTGGTTGAAGGGACAGGCAGTGAGAGGATTGATGGGATTTTGATTAATGTTTGACGGGGGCGGAGGGGAGGTTAGGACTTGATGGAGAGGGTAGGGATTGCCCAAATGCTGGGGTAGGGGCAATGTTGGGGTAGGGGCAATGCTGGGGTAGGGGCAATGTTGGGGTAGGGAGGGAGAAAAGCACTTTGAGACCAAATGCTGGGCAGAAGAGGCAGGGATTAAGAGTGCTTCACATACTGCTATGAGCTGGCCAATAGAGTCAGGTAGGTGCTCTAGTTTGTTGCTCGCGATGGATAGTCGCTCCAAACGAGATAGCGAGCCGACTGGGAGAGGAGATGCGGTGGGTGGGGGGTTGAAAAGGAACAGGGGGAGGGGCGGGGAAGAAGGGCAGGGTCAGGGAGGAGGGGATGAGAGGCAACCTCATGTGGCAGGGGCTGTAGCCTTGAGGGAGGAGAGCAGGCCAATGGAAGCTGGCAGGCACCCCGCTAAACCCTTTTTCACCCCTCCAGCAATCATAACAACTTTCTCGTACTCCCTCCTACCCTTGCTGCTGCTCATAGCGCTAAATCGCATCTGGCAGCTGTGGCAAATCACATTCATCTGGAAGCAGATGAAGCTCTGTTGACTGGTTGTTCTCCAGATGAACGGCTTTGAGGGAGGGGAGCAGCCCGATGGCAGCAGGTAGATACCCCTCTGACCTTTCTGACTGCTCCACCACTCATCACAACTCCCTTCTACTCCCTCTAACTCCTTCTAACCATTGTTAGCTGTGCTCAGTAGGCAGCTCTGTCAATCGGTTGTTCTCCAACTGAAGGGCCTTGAGGGACGAAAACAGCTCCCTCCTACTCCCTCCTACCCCTGACAGCCACTTCACAAATTTCTCACTTTCGTTTGGCAGCTCTGTCAATCGGTTGTTCTCCAACTGAAGGGCCTTGAGGGAGGTAAGCAGCCCAATTGAAGCAGGCAGGCGCTCGATGCGATTGGTGGGGAGAACCAGCCGCTGCAGCGATGTCAGCCGTCCGATTGCTTCAGGGATTTCAACTGGAAGGTTGAGATCGAGCGGGGATGGTGGATGACAAACGGGTCGATGTTAATGATACAGGTGACGCAGAAAGCACACACCACAGTTGCACAATGCTTTTTTTCTTTTCTTTTCTTTTTTAAATTTATTTTTTAATTCTCAGAAAACATACTCAGCACACACCACAGATGCACAATAAAGAGTTTTAACGTTTATTTGGTTAACTGGCAGGGAAAAGTCAAGTTATCAGGTGCTGCTGCTGCGATGTAAATCGTTGGATTGCCACAGAAAGCACACACCACACCACAGTGATACCCCCAGATATTATTACCTATTTTGTTGTTAGATGCGTCTAGAGTGCGTGCTGATCCTGCAGCTTCAAACACTGCATCGGGGATGGACTGATGGGGAGCGGAGAGCGGATGAAAGGGAGGGAAATGAGGGGGAGTTGGGGGGAACGAAGCAGGAGAAAAGGAGAGCAGCGGAGAAGAGAAGAGAAGAGATGACTGCAAAATGGGCCCGCTGCTTCAAACACTGCATCGGGGATGGATGGACTCGTGGGAAGAAAGGAGGGGGGAGTACGCCCAATCATCCCCTCCCAATACCTACCCTGCTGGTTCTTTAGTCGACTCAATCATCCCCTCCTTCAAGTATGGTAGCATGATAGCATCCCCTCACCTTCAGGTGCGCGTCCCTGAGGGCGATGATCCCGGTGGCCTTCCAATTCGCTGCGCGCTGCGCGCTCGCCGCGGCCCTCCCCCCGCCCAGCGCGGCATTCCCAAGGGAGAGGCTGGAGAGGCCCACGGAGTCTAGACCGTCCTGGGGAGAGGCAGTGGTGGGGTAAAGAAGGGCAAAAGAAGGATGAGAGGAGGATGAACCAAGCAGGCGGATTGGAAAAAGGTTGACCGCTTTCGTCGTGTTTTACAGCGGCCAGCTGGACTAACCTTGACGTTCACGTTCCCCATTGGCCAACGCCGGCGTCGGCTGACCTTCTTAAACGCGCAAAGTGGTAACAACTGTTACCAAGTGAGAGGACGGCGACTTGAGGCTGGTCCTCTCTCGGGCGTCACTCGCTGAAGAGAGCTAAGAGACGCGCGGCGCAAAAAATAACCTATGTGCGAAGCGAATTGGCGACAATGGGGCGCGCTTTGGAATTAGTACAGAGATGCAAGGGAAGTGCATGGAACCCACAAGGGAAGTGCATGGAACCCACAATCTCGAGGACTTCGGTAGCTTCGTTACAAAAGCGCGCATGGATAAAGCTTACAAATAATAATACATTTGCTATTCTATCATGAATGCTTCAGCAATTCAGAAAAAGCAGGACAATCATCGGGACAATCCCACAGTGGTAGCATTTTTTATCAGTGCAGAAAAGATCTAAGAGCAGCGACAGGGTCCCCTTGGTGTTCCCGTAGTCTTCTCTCTGCTATCTTTTTGTCAACCTGGACACACATACAGAAAACAGACAAAAAAAATACATAACTGTGGGAATAGGAGAGAGCTACTGGGGTAAAAAGCCGGGATGCGGAAAATGACAACGGAAGCAGCCAACAACCTACAAGAAATCATGGCAACTTACCTCCATTTCTGAAGCAATCAGATCAATGTGTGCTGAGTCTATCTTTACTGCAGCCAGCTCCTTTTCCCTGCCAGCAATACCACCCACCCAACCAACGGTCCACGCACAGCAAACAATGGGAATGAGATGCAAACAATGCTGCAAGCTATTCTGGTGCAATCACATCAGCCACCCGTCCCACCAGATCAAGCACACCGTAGAGCCTCCCTCACACCCTGCGCAACGTGCCAGGGAGGCTCAGCATGGTGAAGAGTTTTGATAGGTCCGTATACACCATGGGATTTGATAATTCAAAGTACACTCATGGTAATCCATGGTCCAGGGTCGTACCTGGCGCGTTGAGCCTCCCTGTCCGCCGCAGATGACGCTGCAATCGACGCCATGGCCTGCACCAACAAAGCATCAGCAGAACAGTTCGGGGAAGACAACAATGACCGATGGTGCTGCATGGCGTTCGAACTGATTCTTGAGGCGCCTCAGAACTGGCGTGCGAACCGTCGGAGGGGAACGAAGAATGGCAGCAATGCAGTGCGTGATGATAAATTTGAAACGTCTGAGAACTAGGGCAGACAAGAGCCTGCTGAGGGTCTTGAAACGTCCTAGAACTACGACTGACAGATCCTGCTAAGGCCCAGGCAATGCGAACTTGCATAAATCACTTGGGCTTATCTCTGTTCCCTCCTCAGTATCACTGCTCCCTCCTCAGTAATCCCAGAATTTCCCTCCTCAGGGACCTGGAAATTGCCGAGACAGCAACAAAGCGTCCGCGAGTGCAATGGTGCATCTGCGGAAGAGCCTGTCTTGGCCAAACGCGCGAAACCCTGAACCATTGAAGTCGTCGTCTGAAACCCTAAACCAACGCCCGCCTGTTCGGCTAGCGCATAAACACCACTGAGTTTCTGTACCACCCGAATTCATTCTGTACAATACCCCTAGTGCCTCTCAGTAGCGCTCCGCCATAATCTCCTTCAATTCGGCGAGGAACCTTCAGGAATCTAAGCGTGACTTAGTTAACATGGTGCGGAATCTCTGAGAGCTGCGAGAAAAACTTAATCAACGGGCCGCGTGTACCTCTTGGACTCGGCGCGAATCTAGTTGTCGCTCCTCCACATGGTCGGTGATGGAATCTAGGGCGCGACTCTGCTGCTGCATGTCGCGCGACGCGTCCTTAGGGACATCATTAGTCTCAGTGTCGTCCGACATCGTGGATTTTCAAGGAAGGGGAGAGACGAATTTGATTGGCGCCTGCGTGAGTCACGGAGATGTTAGTACGGGCGTGTGAAGGCGCTCGACCCTGCTCTGACAGCAAGGTTGCTAGGTTTGCTTGACACAGAAGTGGAGTGGGGATGTGGTGGAGATTCCTATTTTGAAATGACTTTTCGATAAGCATATCTCAGCTTTGATTGCGAACTCTTTTTCCGTGTGAAGCGCTCTGTAACGAGAAGCTGCGTTTCATTCGGGGGCGCTTGTGTTCGCAGGGCGGTTTTGCCTTCGCTGGCGTTTGCATTGACTGCGGACTCTCAAACTGAACGAAACCCGTTACAGTACAGTATTGCAAGCCAGCACAGTCGTCGACCTACCGTTTTGCGTCCGCAGGCTCGGTCGTGCGGGGCCATTGACGGATTCTCACCTTTGACGACACCTGCAAGGTCACGCTATTGTCGTTTTCTGATTGCGACGCACGTCGGATGCATACGCGAACTCCCGCTAATCTCGCATTTGTGTTTCGCAACTCCCATCACACACGGATAGATTGTCGCACGTGCTCGACATATTCTCGCGAAACAGGGACATTTCGTCCGTTGCCCCTGCGCCTCGCCCGGGCCGCTCAACAACCTGGCGCGCTTCGTTAGAACGGCGTGACGAACCGCGTTTTCTGGTCTGGTTCGGATTCGGTCGGTAAGTGCTTCACCAGACCAGCACTTTCTTGGGTGCCGAACCAAAAATTGCGCGAAAGGCGAAAGAAGCGGATATTCGAACGTCTGAATGATGGTTTGGCGGAATCGGTTAGGGAGAATTTCGGGTGGTGTTGCTGTACGTTGGTTAGTTGGGTTTGGAATCTCCTCTCTCTCCCCGTTGGAATCCACTCGAGGGTGTCCTTGAGGTCGTAGTGCAATTCAGTGAGAGCTGTTCGTTCTTAGGCGGTTCGTATTAAACATACAACGGTTAAGAGTGTTGAGAACAAGTCCTCAGGTTTGTGCTGTGTCCTGTGTAAAACCTGATCCGAATCAGGATGCCTTCAGTGCTGTGCTGTGTGATGGGTGTGCTAGTCATCTGTAGTGAGGGATTGCCTCGACCCAGCTAGGGGGTTTGAAGCCTGGATGGAAACTTGAATTCGGAGTGAATGCGGTGCGGCATGAATGTGATGAAAAAGGACAAGGGTATGAGCCGAAGTAGACGCGAGGTGACACCGTGCCCATGCCCTTCCAGCCCCATCAACCCGTTGCCCTCTCGGTCTCACTAGAAAGCTGAATGCCCGCATTCCTCGTGTAGGTGGCAATTGCCTCGCCTCGCACCCCTCCTCGACTTTCCAAATTTCAGATTCGCTCAAGTCGAACCACGCCAGAACAGATTCAAGAGTACAGTATCTATTGTACAAATTCCTACATCACCTCCCATTGCTGGCGACCTGCCAGTAAAGTCAGCGCGAATTCACCTTCCTACCAATATGTGCTGAGATCCTTCCCGCCATAGCGTGTTCCTTGCCCGCATTCAGGTAACATTTTCCAGTCTAAGCTTTTAGCCCAGTATATCTCAGCTTTATCTCCATCAACGGACCGCGGCGTTACCGTTCTGTGGTACAGCTAACGCCCAGAATCTCTACATACCAGTCTCGCACTCCCGCGCTTAAGTGCCTAATCGCGTTCTTAGCCGGCACCGCAAGCTGAACGCTTACTCGCATAACCCCTACTTGATGCTGACTTTCCATGCTAGTTCCGCTAAGCCTAACGATGGCGATAAGCTGCTAGAATGGCATTTGGACGATTTCACCGCATTCTACAAAATAGAATGCATTAATACCTTTTGACTCCCATATTCGCTTGAAGTCCATGAAGCCGCCTAGCGGATATCAGTTAACTTAGCCGAGTCTTCCAGCCTGCTACTGTGCGTGTTTCGTGAACCTGCGGCATCTACGAGCTTCCACACTTAAAGCTTTTATTCGTAACATATATTCTCTTCTCTTTTTTTTGCCGTTAAAGTGTGAAAACGGCGAAGGTTCTTATCCGTGCAGCTGTATTTCCTATTTCATCCTTCCTCTTTGTGCAGAGACGACATCGCTTAGGGAGAACGCGTGACGCTGGCGAAATCCGTGCTCCGGCTAAGAGTAACTCGATATCTGGCTATTCTGTCACTACCGCTGGGTGTAGCGGTCGGAATAAGATGGGGGTCGAGGAATGATAGTTGCGGAAGGAGCGAATCCTCCTGTTCTTTGGAAGACGGCTGTTGTGGATTGAACCGTGATAGTGGCTCAGCGTCCTCCTCACCGCGGCCTCTGCAGGCAGAGGCTTAACTCAAAGCGTCTTTTTGTTTTAAACACTTGACGCGTTTAGTTGACGGCGCCCAAACAAAAATTGGACTTTCCGTCAGTCAACACGGCGCAGGGACACTTGCGGCCGGCTCTGCTGCGAGCCGCGAGCGGCAACGGCGGCTGCAGCACGCTGGCAGCGGCAGCGGCGGCAGCGGCAGCGACGGTGGCGGCGGGAGCCACGGCGGGTTCAGATTTCGGAGGGGGGTCGCCAGGGAAGCTGCGAAAGATGCAGAGCTGGAAGAATAAGGCGGTGGTGATGTGCTCCAACAACTTCTGTCGCAGAACTTCGCCCGGCGACGGACCGTACGAACCTAAGCTCTGCTCTATCCTCGACTCTCCTCCGTCATTGCTGGGGTTGTTCATCGTTTCTTTCCTTTGTGCATCTCGACAGCCAAAAAACTCTTTCTATTCCACCTACTCGAATACCCCTTACTATTCCGCAGGACTTGTCGCTGGCACGTGCGAAACTACGGCAGCGAAGACGATCCTGTGAATGTTACCCTATGTAACGCGTGCAAGATCAATTTCGATCAGGTTCGTCGAACTATCAGAAAGTCTTATTCTCAGGCTTCCTTTCAGCGGTTTTTCTAAGGTTGGGAGTGTTCCCAATGTCAGACTCCCTCGCGGTATTCCCAATGCCGGGTTGCCTTGAGAAATTCGGATAGTCTGGGAAACGGTCCCGAACCGCCTTGCGGTGTTCCCAGTGCCGGGTGTTTGTCCCACGCGGCGCTGATACTCCCAAAGTTGAAAATCGGTTCTGGACTGAGATTTCCCTTCAGGAACGACCCAAGCCCTTGCGGTATTCCCAGTGCCGGAAGACAATGACTTGACCGCGTCTAGCCGTACTTTTAAAAGGTTTGAACGTCCTTTCTCTGCTGTCAAGGTGCATCAATCCGGCATTGACTTATATTAACCTTCATGCTCTCTAAACTCTCTCTTTCATTTCCCTCTCTTGTTTTTCTTTATTCTCGTTATTACGTGTGCTCTGCAGGGCAAGTACTGTCCCTTCTGCGTTCAGATCTACCGCGAGAGGGATCCAGACAGCTTCGACAAGAAGCAAGTGCGTCTTCCGCATAGATAGATCTTTCTTAGTCGCCACGTCAAGCATGTTCGCGGTGTCAGCGTCCCTAATCGTCCGCGTTCATCGGTCCCCATTAGACTTCAATTTCCCTCAACTCCCGTCGCTCAAATTCTCCGTTGGTTCTCTCGACCTCCCGCTTCCGTTCCGCACTTCCAATCATCGTCCTCAGTCGTCATACTCCGTCTGTCCCTCTGCCTCGCAACAGTACCGTTTAGCAACAGTAGAACACTGACAGTTCTGATTAGTGGTTCTTGTTTAGGCTACCGTTGATGATTCTCATTGGTGGTTCTCACTTCCACCTCCTCCATCGCTTTCCTCCCCTATTCTTTCTTCCCTCCCCTATGCTTTCTCCCTCTCCTATCTTCCCCTTCCCAGTGGATCGGCTGCACCAATCGCAACTGTCGCCGCTGGTCGCACGAGGAGTGCGAGATGGAGTACGGAATCGACGTCTCCAAGATCGACCGCCGATCCTACCAATGCCCGGGATGCCGCGACGCGGGCAAGGTACGGGAATACCTTAATCACGCAGTCGACGCCCTATCCAGAGAATCCCGTCCCACCCATGTACAGCGCCCTGATTCCAACAAACGCCGCGATTCGGCCGCCAGAACGCGGCGGAGTTCCCAGTGTACGCCATCCCTTTCCCGTTCAATCGGTCTCCTCCTTTCGCCCGCTCCCGTCCCGCCCATGTACAGCGCCCTGATTCCAACGAACGCCGTCGCTTGGCCACAAACACGTGGCGGAATTTCCCTGTGTGTGCGGTCCCCCTCCCAATCCCACCCGTGTCCAGTACTCCGATTGCAATGACCGCCGTCGCTTGGGCCGCCATAACGCGGCGGAATTTCCATGTGCATGCCATCCCCCTCCCATTCAATCACCCTCCTCCTTTCCCCGGTGCTACCCCCCGTCCTATTCCGTTTAATCCGTTCCCCACTTCCTTCTCACCCGCATCCAGCACTCTGACTGCAACGACCGCCGTCGCTTGGGTCGCCACAACGCGGCGGATCGCCTGGCGATCGCGCAGGCCGCAGCAGCTGCCGCGGAAGCGGGCGGTGCAACCGGGGGAGAGAAGGACCGCGGGGGGAGAGGGGGAAGCGGAGGGGGTGCTGATAAGGCCGGGGGGTCAGGTTCCCCTGCGCGGTTACTGTTCGGGGGAGGGGCGGGCGGAGGGGGAGGCGGAGGGGGATCGGTTCCAAGTGGACGGCGGAAGAGTAGGCAATCCAGCGGCGGTGGCGCTGCTGCTGCTGCTGGGGTTTCTGGCCGGAACAGCCTGCTTGCTGCGGCGGCGGCGGCGGCTGTAGCTGCGGTTGCTGCTTCCCCCCCATCCCCGCTATCAGCAAGAGGCCAGGGTACCGCAGGGGGAGCGGGAGGCGCAGCAGGGGGAGCAGGGGGAGCGACAGGAGGGGGAGAGGTAGCGGCAGGGGGAGATGGAACGGGGGGAGGTGGGAGGAAAGGGGCGGGGAGCGGAAGGGGGAGTGGCAGTGTGAAGGTGTTGTTTAAGGGCGGTGCGGGGAGGGGAGGAGGAACGGGCGATGCGGAGGGGGAGGCGGTGAAGAGTGACGAAGGGGGGAGCTGCAATGACACTGACAGCGACACTTTCCCGGTAGGGACCCGCCTTGCACACAAGCCACCTTTCTCGAAGAGCACCAACAATCCCTCCCCCCTTGCCTCCCCTCGCCGCCCGCTCCTGAGTCCTTCCCTTCCCGAAGCACGCTCACGATTTTCGCCAATCACCCGCCTTTTTGTTTCCTGCTCTCGTTCCCCCACACCTAATTAATCCGCCCACCTAATTTGTCCCCGCCCGATCTTATCCCCACCGCCCCAGGGACTGCAGGACTCGTTGCACTCCCCCAACCCCTCGAGCGACTCAACTTCCAGCGACTCTTGAGGTGCCTAATGAGTCAGTTTCCCCACCTAATCGATATGCTCACCTGTCCCCGCCCCACCCCCCCCTGGCCCCAGGGACTGCAGGACTCGTTGCACTCCCCCAACCCCTCAAGCGACTCAACGCCCGGCGACCATGCTGACTCAGCTAACCGCGTTGACCGCGTTGACCAGTCAAAGCCCGAGCTTGCCATTGACCAGAGGATCCACCCCGTAGATCACATTGACCAGATTGACCAGGCTGACCCCATGGATACAGGTGACGATAAGGGATCTGGAGAGGTGGAGGGGGAAGAGGGCGAGAGGGAGCGGAACCGAAAATCATCTAGCAGTAGTCACCACAGTAACAACAGCCAAGATAACAGTAACGAGTATGACAACAGCGAGTATGGATGGAGGAAATCTCCTGTAGCAGCAGCAGGAGGAGCCGGAGCCGCAACAGCAGCAGTGGCGCCCACGGGGTCTGTGGTGCCTCGGAGTAGTAAGAGGGTGCAAGGCAGCAGCGCCAAGCCTCTCAAGGTGGATCTATCTAAGCTGCAGACGAGCTCGCTGCGGCGCTACAAGCGAGTGTACAAGCTCAGAGACGCTTCTTCCGGCAAGGTGGGTACTTGGGTTATGTGGGGTACGTCAATATCCTTGTATAAATTTAGTATATTATTTTGGACTTCAGCTCAAGGGGATGCTTGATTCTATTATATAACCTTTTTTTCCCACTCCCGTTTTTTCGCACTGCCTCTGCATTCCCAGTGTCTGAATATCCCCTGCACTCTCTTCCCCTGATCCAGTCGTTCCCTCTTCCCTCTCCCTTTCCTTTTCACCCCTGTCAACTCACTGGCAGTTGCCAGCAGGAGCTCAAGCTTGCAGTGGTGCAGCACTTTGCCAGCTTCTCATGCGTCTGCCTGCACTAATGCTTCTCTTTTCCTCCCACCCCTCCTTTCTTGATGTTTGCCTTTCCCCTCCGTCTCCTTCCTTCTCGCCTACAGGAGGAGCTCAAGCTTGCAGTGGCGCAGCATTTTGCCAGCCTGGTATGTCTCCTGAGAATCGGCCTGTGCATAATCAGCAGGCCGCATGATTATTAGGTGGCAAAGCAACAGATGCTGTATCAATGAACCGAGTGTGTGCAGTGTCGGCTCCTCTCTAATTAGGTGTTTCCCTCACTGAGTGCGATTCAGTCTGCAACACAGAGACAGGGGCTGCCTTACACTGCACCTTGTCAACTCCAGTATGTCCTCTTCTCCAAAAATCGTTAAATCGATTTGGAACATGTTTTTCAGGTCCTGCTGGCCTTGCTCTTGCCCCAATTCTGCCTTGCCACTTTGCTTCCAGGTCGTATCCGAGGAGGAGATTATTCATTCCCTGGTGGAGGTGTTTTCCCGGCGGTACCACCAGCGAGCAGCAGCCAATGCCGCGGCTGAGGCCCCGGCTGCAGCAGCAGCGGCAGTAGCAGCTGCTTCCAATCTCGCGCATCAGCACGGCGCAGCTACATGCTCTTAAGGAAACTTTTGAGTCGACTCAAAAGTCACCTCGCGCATCAGCACGACGCAGCTGCATGCTCTTAAGAAACAGAGGCAGCAGCTAATGCCACGGCTGGGGCCCCCCTGCAGCAGCAGCAGCAGCAGCAGCAGCAGCGGCGGTGGCGGTGGCAGCGGAGGCGGCGGCAGCAGTAGCAGCAGCAGCTGCTTCTAGAGCACATGAGAGCACGGTGCAGCAACGCTGCTCTTCAGGAACAGAGGCACATGGCACGATGCAGACCAGTCTGGTCAGGCGATCTGTAGGAGCAATGGGAGAGCAGAGGGAGCAGTGAGGGTGCAGCTCCAGCAGTGGCAGGTGCCTCCAATCTGGTGCATCTGCATGGCAATGCAACCCGTTCTTGGAACCGCTTCCGGGTGCTGGCGGTGGTCATGGAAGCATGTGGTAGTAGTGGAGCAGTGGTGAGTCTCATCTAATCTGATACATGAGGTGCATCAGCAGCAGTAGGAGCAGCTACAGAACAGGCGGGGGGTCATCCGCAGTTGTAGGAACAGTAGGAGAGCAGTAGGAGTAGGAATACTACTGAAAGCAGCTTTAGAAGACTGCAGCAATGGTGGGATTCAACTGCAGGGGGTAGCAGCAGCAGTGGCAGCAGCAGTGGGAGGAGTGATCGCAGCTGTGGGAGCACGTGGGGCAGCTGCAACTAATCTAACAACTCATGTGTCCCACCAGCACTAGAGCCTGATGCGGGAAAAAAAGGCCAGTACAGGGCGCGCTAGTATTCCCCTGTCCATTTAGGGAGATGGTTTAGTTGATCAATTGTCAACAAGGGGAGGACATTGCTTTCCCTTTGTGGAACAAGTCCTTCGGTTAGATCGAGGAGAAATGTTATACCTTAGAGGCTATTAGACTGCCTTGTAACTGTGACATCTAACTAGTGGACGTAGTTAGGCTTGCAGTTGCTTCTTTACAGGTTTTTTAAGGCTGGTTGAGAGGCTCACAAGCTGAAATATTATATAAGGACCTTGTTTCTTGTGGTGTATACCCCGATTATATCACTCTGTTTCGGGATATACTTACCCACTGGGTTCTGCGGACGCGATACGAGGACACCGCCCAGGCGGTCTCGCATGTGGCCCCACACACACACACACTTGCGCCCACCCCCACAGCACCCCCACAGCTGGTCGCAGCGCAGGCGCCAGCCAAACAGCCCAGGCGCACAGCCCACTTCGCTTTTTCACCGCACTCCACCCACGAATAAGCCACTATCTCTACTCCAATGATCCAATCCCCAATACTTCACACTTCCAGTTCAGAAACCAGATGCGAAAGAGGCTCAGTAGTGAGTTAGTAGCCGTGGCCTCTCTTGTCGCAAGCAGTGATATATACCACGAGCAGCTCGATCATCCGCAGAATATTCTCGTCGCCTCGTCAACCACTCCAATTACACCCACTGAAGCAGCAACTCGCAAGGCCAGCCTTCCTTCGACTTCAAGTCGCCCGCTTTGTCCTTTCCAGAAGTCGGGCATATTATAATCCCAACAGCCATGGAAGCGAGATCGAGAATCTCCTACCTTTTAGTCATCGCCTTAGCGTTGCTTTCCCTTCTTGCCGCCACAACCTTAGCCGACGAGGATGTAAGTCAGGGTACACTCATCAGCTTATACGACAGTAAAGACTTTCGCTATAGCGAGTTCACCGCGTATCACGCCATCCGGCCCGACCCGCGAGCGCCGTGCCACGATCTTCCCGAGGAGCTGGTCGGTCGCGTCGGGTCGCTGATGATCACGTGGAACACTCGCGACCACACGAAGCGGCACATGATGTGTAACACGGTGTGGTTCTTTTCGGAATCGCAATGCGCGGGCGTCGCGACGGGAATCGAGCTTCCGGACGGCCCGCAGCACGCGAGTCCGCGCAACTACAGCTACGGCTTCACCGTGAAAAAGTAAGCTCCGAAACGTCTTGTTGATCTATTCCGCAAATTCCGTTAGATCCGTCCATGCCGTTAATTCCGCTGGCAAGGACACGGGGGACGGTTTGAAATTAGTGAGAGTGTTAGAAGTAGGCAGTCAGGTAGAGCCCGTGCATTATAAAATCTGAAAATGCGTGGCGTCTGAACCTTGAAGCTTATCGGCCTTTTAACGCGTCTATCATTTCCTGTTGTTCCTTCCCTCGTTTCAGGAACGTTCGTGGCCCATTAGCTTCAGTGGCTTCAGTCGGCTGCTCTTACAGTAAGTCCACCTCAGTTTTCCTCCATTCCCAGAGCCCAGTCTTCCTTGCGTAAACCACGTCAGTTTTCCTTCCCCCATTATTGAACGTAGGTTCTCACCACCAAACATTTCCACCTTCCTGTGCCTATCTCATGATACCATATATATCCTGCTTCTGTGCCTAACAATGCTCCTGTATTTCTGTTTCTTGCAGCGCCTAATCCCTGCTCGCTCTACGGCTGCCCTGCACATTCAGTGTGCGACTCAGCCCAAGGAACGTCGCATATGTGCCTCTGCAGAAAGGGGTTTATCAAAATCAAGAATCAGTGTGTTTGGGCAGCAGGGTTGTCATCCACATAGGTGCGCCCTGTGCTTTCCCATAGCCTTGCTAATAATGTGAACGCGAATCCAAGTTATTCGCCTTTCCGTATTTGAATGTTATGTACTGTACACTCTAATCAAATAAGCGCATATTGCAGCAGGATGCATCATCAAACAGACGTGTCCTATCATTCGTGTGACGAGGAGGACTCGATTGATTCCACCGGCCGCGTCACGTAACCGCATTTCGAGCCGCATTTGTCGAATTCAGACATCTGTCGATGTAAATTCGCCCCCAAAAAACTACGGATCCCTCCCTCCCAACCCTATCAGCATTCCTTCTGAAGTTGGGAATTTGGGCTGCTACTGAAAGTAACAGCACCACCATCTCGTTGCTACTGAAAGTAACAGCACCACCATCTCGTTGCTTCCAGCATCGTGCATTCACTCACACTGCATCCTCCCAAATGGATCACGCACTCATATTTCTCGCCATTATATTTATCTCGTCGGGAAAGGCCGCCGTAGCAGCAAGTTTCGATCCAGCAACTCAAATCACTCTTTACAATCAACCGCGTTTCTTCAACTCTCCAGTCACTCTCAACGAATTCATCGTCCGACCAGACCCGCAGGTCGCTTGTTACAATCTCCCCTCTGCCTTCTCCAAAAACGTAGGCTCCACGAAAATCGCGTGGAGCACGAAGACTGCGAGTGTGACACGTGTCAGCTGCAGCACTGTGTGGTTCTTCCCCGGGTTGAAATGCGCGGGGACACCCAAGGGAGTGCCGCGGCCTGCGTCAGTATCAAATGCGTCCTCTTCTTTGAGCTTCGTAGGGTGAGCTATGCTTTCTAGTGCTGATTCAGCCCGCGTTTTTCATAGCCTGTTTGATCACGTTTGCCATTGGTTTTTTTCTAAAGCTGAATGTTTGAGACACGTGGAAATAATCACGTTCTTCATAACTTGTTGGTTCCGTTGAAAGTGCTTTCCTGAAAATGAAGCTATGGCTGACTCGGATGTTTTGATTTTATTGCATCGCCTGTTCCTTGTTGGCGTTCTGAACTTGCAGCGTACTGGCCGAGCCAATGAGGTCAGCGGCCTCCATCGCATGTTCCTATGGTGAGCAGCGTACTGTACATCGCTTCGAGATTTGCCTTTGAAGACATTGAAACCTCCTTAGCCAGTTGCCTCTTTTTGCGCTTGCTCTGGGCAACCAAAAAAAAAAAACTCTCATTTGAGCTCTTGAGTTTCTCACTGATTCCGTTTGCATTCCTCCCATTCCCTGTTCCTGAGCCGTTCCTCAGACAGGAACCCGTGTGCCGTTGTTTCATGTCCTGCCAACACCACATGCACCTCCTATGGCAACACTGCGCATGCATGCCCATGCAGCTCTGGCTTCACTCGAGTCAATGGCAACTGTGTTGGTGCGTGAGTTGTTTCACAGCCTTCTGCATTGCATTGATTGACTATGAACAGTATGAGACACTCGATCGAGTCAATGGCAACTGTGAAGCATCATCCTTTTGCGGTGTGTGTGTGTGTGTGTGTGTGTGTGTGTGTGTGTGTGTGTGTGTGTGTGTGTGTGTGTGTGTGTGTGTGCGCGCGCGAAGCGTCCCACCTTAATTTCCCCCATACTTTGCAACGTTTTCTCCCCTGTTTCTCCCACCTAGACAAGTGCACGGCCAGAAACTGTCCAGCAAATTCTTCCTGCTATCTCCGTGAAGGGGCAGCGGAGTGCGTGTGCAAGAGAGGGTTCGTGCAGCAATCCAACGGCTCCTGTGCGCCGCAGCCCGTCCATGATGACTGGCTGGGATTGCAGAACGACGCCAGAGCGTCCGTTGGATCGCCGCTTCTCATTTGGAATGAAACCTGTGAGTGAGAGCAGTGTGATGATATGTGGTGGGGGGAGTGCGAGGGGGGAGAGGGGGGGGGGGGGGGGGGGGGGGGGGGGGGGGGGAAGGGAGGGGAAGAGGAAGGGGTTAACTTGTGCTGATTATTATGTCATGCTAGTGTCTGTGTTCTCAGCTTCCCTTCCATTTCTTGTTCTCCCTGCATTTCCTTTCAAACACTGGCAGCAGCAGCACGGGCATGGGGAAGCAAGCTAACCTCCACATCCTGTTTCAATACCTCCCTGGAGAAAGGAGTTCCCTATGCTCAGAACACTCTGGCTGCACATGGATATGTATGCTGATTTCTGATCACACATATTCCTCCCATTATCATTCCAAACAGTGGCAGCAGCAGCACGAGCATGGGGAACCAAGCTAACATCCACATCCTGTTACAATACCTCCCTGGAGAAAGGAGTTCCCTATGCTCAGAACACTCTGGCTGCATATGGGTTTGCTCCACGAGACACGGTCAACGTGTGGATGTCTGGAAGGCTAAGCTACACCCGTGCTGAGTTCCCTAACGGCTGCAAGAACGGGCAACTTCGGAACTGCATACACTTCCTCAGGGTACAGTTATTTCCTAATTATTGACAGTCCCAATTGAGCTGGTAAGGAATGTGCTATTATTGACTGGCACTTGTTTGTTGTCACAGGCGGTGTGGAACACGACAAAGAGTGTGGGCTGTGCTGCAGTGCCCTGCACAGATGAATGGAGCACCTACATATGCAACTACTACCCGATGGGAGGCATCACAGGAACTTGCCCTTACTGATGTGCAGATTATATCCATGAGTAAAACAAACAGCATGTATTGTTATTACTAACACGTATTGTCAATGCACTGTCCTGTCCATTGGTAGAAATATTTTATTATGAATTATTGTCGGACTGGAAAAGGATTTTATGACACTTGGACTACCAATAAAGCAAGCCCAAGATTATCACATGACGGGTGCGTTGATGTTGTAGTGGAGGACGATGCGATACTATTAACAATAATTGTGTATTCAAAGCGCAGTAATATTCTGAACGCCTTATCCGTAACCACGAATTGCTTGGTTTGAATGTGGTGGAAACTGTAAGGATGTTATGCTTGGTCTACTAATCCCCTTCAGCAATGCATTGTTCTTAACACTATTAGCTCCATGTGATGCTTATTTTCTGTACAGTCAGCAGGCTGCTTTTATCACGGATATTCATGTCTCTGTTCTCCTGGCACAGGTATTTCAGGCGGCCATAGATTATGCGGACAGGTATTTTCGAACCGAGCGTCTGCCAGCCACACACACGAAACGAGCTCGCGACGCTCCGCCCAATCAAAGGTTGTTATGTCGAGCCGCACATGCTCTCGTGCTTCACCCAATAGCGCGTAATTCCGTCGACAGATCCGGTCTGGTTAGGCAACCCACGGAACCGTCGAATACGTTACAGATTGGAATTTCGGCCGTCGATTTCCGTAGCGCTGCTATGACGAACCACTTTCGCCTCAATGATGCGCGAGAAATCGCTCCTCCCGACGCGAAGCGCGATTCGACGAATCGACCTATCTGGTCGAATTCGTTCTCGTCAAATTCTTGCGCCGTCGAATTCCGCAGCGCACCAAAATCCGCAAGGATGGCAATAAAAAGGCCCACCCAGTTGAGTCATCATCGACAAAAACTCTTCGCCGTCGCATTACTCCCTCCCCACTTCTAACTTACGTGATAGATCGACCACCGGTTACGATCGCCATGGCTGTTCCGTCTCCCCGGAATGCTGCTCCCGCGAGGCGCGCCCCTCGTACCGCCTTACCGTCCGTCACCGCGATCGTCGCCGTTGTCTCCGCGATGCTCCTCACTGCTATCACCCACCTTCCGCTAACCGTGTCCGCCGGTACCGTTGCCCCCGCCGCCGTTCCACCCGCCGTCGTACCGCCCGCCGTCGTCCCACCCGCCGTCGTTCCCCCCGCCGTTGTTCCGCCCGCAGTCGTCCCGCCCGCCGTCGTTCCGCCCACCGCGCCGTTCGCGCAAGCCGTCCCGGGCACGCTCCTCGCGCTCTACAACCGCCAGTACTTCGCCAACTCCCCCAAAACCCTCCCGTTCGTCGCGATCCGCCCCAACCCGGCTGTAGCGTGCTACGACCTGCCTCCGGATTTCGCGCGCAGCGTGGGCTCGGCGCGCGTCTGGTGGAACACGAAGGATAACCAGCCGGAGCATATTAACTGCGGCACGGTGTGGTTCTTTCCCGCTTATGGCTGCACGGGTGCTGCGACTGGGATCCGCAGGCCTGGGAGCTTGAATACCACCGCCCCCAGATACAACGCGTACAGGTGAGACCCCTCACAACTCGGTAAACCTTCAAGTTGACTCAAGGATACCCTAGATGCAACTCGAGCTGGTGAGAAGGCCTCCGGCCTCCTCTCATAAGTGTAGAGAGGGTGTTTTTGAGACGTCTCAAAAACACCCTCTCTACACATACCTCTCATAAGTGTATGCTCCTTGCATCGTCCTCCCCTTTTCTCCGCTCCCTCCACGCTCCTTGCAAGCACCTGCTTCCATTCCATGCACATTCTCTGCGTCTTATTCTCCTCACCTCTCCCCCATCGCCCCTCTCTCCCCACCATTGCAGCAAGCTGCCAGCACAGATGGCCACAGCAGCTTCTGTCGGCTGCTCTTTCTGTAAGCATCCCTCCCCTCTCTCCCCCTCACCTCCCTCCCCCTCCCCCCTCCCCCCTTCCCCCTCCCCCTTCTCACTTCCCCTCCTGCTCCCCTTCCCCTTCCCGTTCTCTTTTTTACATTTTCCTCTTTTCATCTCAGTTTCACCTTCCGTATTGTTTCCCTGAATTCGCCCAGTTAGATCAAACCCGTTTTGTCCCAGGCCCGACCCAATGCCATGTAAAAGTCCACCAAGGCCGATTCAAACCCGCCTCACACTTTGGGTTCTTGAGCCGATTCATAATTGCCTCCATCACCCCCTGTTCCTCCCTACCTCCGTATCCCAGTCCCCGACCCGTGTGCGGTCATAGCATGTGCGGATCCCAACGCCATGTGCAAGTCCAACAAGGGCACAACTCACGTTTGCCGCTGCCAGCCTGGATTCACCAGTGTCAACGGCACGTGCACTGGTGAGAATTCTGGAAGATTGCGCACGATTCATTGCGCACGATTCATTGCGCACGATTCATTGCACTTTATACACTGCGTCTTAGGTGCATGTGCTTCGAGGTGACTTTTGAGTCGACTCAAAAGTCACTGCGTCTTAGGGGCGTGTGCTTCGAGGGACTCAAAAGTCACTGCGTCTTAGGTGCGTGTGCTTCTGCCAGACAGGGTTCTCCGCTGCTCACCCACCCAATCTCTCACTCCTTCCTTGAGCCATCCCCATCCCGATTCTTCCCTCCAGACGTGTGCACGCAGAAGCAGTGTCCTGCCAATTCCACCTGCATCCCCCGGGGCAGCCTCGCCACGTGCCGCTGCGACCCGGGCTTTGACCGCCAGGAGGACGGCACGTGCTCGCCCACTCCCCCAAACAAGGAGTGGCTGCAGCCTCACAACGATGCCCGGGCTGAAGTCGGCTCACCCCTGCTCGTGTGGAATGAAACACGTGAGTATCTCTAGTGTTAAGCCCCTGCCCATAGGCTATGTTTGGGCTTCCATTGACTTTTGAGTCGACTCAAAGTCACCTCTGTTTCAACGCCACTCTGGAGTTCTTCTCGCTGCTCTACGCCCAGAACACATTTTGTGAATACCTTCCATTTTCCCCTTTTCCTCCACCCCCTTCCCCTTCCTGTCCTCTGCAGTGGCAGCAGCAGCCCTCACCTGGGCGCAGCAGCTAGTGAACTCCTCTGCTGCCTGTTTCAACACCACCCTGGAACCTCCCTCCTCCGTGCCCTACGGCCAGAACACACTCGCTGCAGTCAACACCTCCCCTTCTGAAGCCGTGCAGATATGGACGGACGAGGCCGCCCGCTACTCGCGCTCACCCTACCCCTATGGGTGCAACGGGTTGCAGCTGAGGAACTGTGTACACTTCATTCGGGTATGTTTTCTATGAAGAAAAAAATAAGTAAAACCGGTACGTAACAGCAATCTGTAACTTGCCCCTAATGTCTGTCCGTACTGTCCTCTCTTGCTGTACTTTTACCTTAGGTTCGCCCCTTCTCTCCTCTCTCTCCTTCTGTGCCAGGCTGTATGGTGCACCATGTCAGCATTGGCTGTGCTGCTCTGCCCTGCAAGCACTCTCTTATCTATCTCAATACTTCTGTTCTTCATTGTCCCCTCTTGTTCATGTCTGTCCTCTCCTCTTATCCCTCTCCCCCTCCTCCCACCTGCTGCGTGTCAGGCTGTGTGGAACACCACTCTCAGCGTGGGCTGTGCTGCCGTGCCATGCAAGAACAACTGGCAGACATTTGTCTGCAATTACTACCCCAAGGGGGCTATTCCCGGTGCATACCCTTACTAAAGTGGGGCACATGCGTGGAAGTCCTTCGTCTGTGCCCCATACAGGCTGCGCATGCTTCGGAGGCTTCGCAGGAATTACTACTCCTGGAGTGTACTACTCCTGGAGTGTACTACTCCTGGAGTGTGGCTGTACATATGACCGTAGTCTTGTCTCTCACGAGCAGCATACCGTATGGTAGTCTGGCATGTAGACTAGAGTGTGGCCTTTTGGACTCCAACCCGAGGGTGGAGTGTAGTGACGATAGGAGTTAGGTAGGTGTTAGGTGTTAGATAGGTGTTAGGTGTTCAGCTAGCGACAGCTCAGTTAGTAGGCCTTCCATATAGTGTCCTTTACTCCTCCATGCAGTTCATAGAATGGATGGAGGTGTTAGTGCAGGTGTTAGTGAGATCTACACCCTCTGAAGGTGCGGCACAAATGATGATCCTTGAGTGGGATGTTTGCTGTTACAATCGCATGTTTGCGGGTAGGTACAATGCTGTGAAGCGTACCTAGTTTGGTGCAGTAAATATGAAACGACCACCCACCCACAACGTTTTTCAATAGACCGCGAATGCAGACCGTGTAGCGATACAGGTAGGTGGGTATACAACTCGCGCAAATGAGCAGAAGACCTTGAGATGTCTCAGAAGTTCCATACGGTAGCTTGCTGTGCCGCACATGTTCGCACCCTCAAGCAACAGTCCCTACCCTAACATCCTTGACGACCACACCCATGTTAGCACATTCTTTCCAGTTTCGTTGAGTGAGTCAGAAATCGTAGCCGACCCAGAAGGAGCACATGAGCAGAGCGGACCCAGCATGCTGACAGACACAGCCTCCTTCATGCGGTCGTCATCTCCTTCTCTCTTCCTCTATTTCTGCTCCAGTGGTTTCTCGTTCAACCTCCCCACCATCCTTTGCTACTCCACCCTACCCCCTGCCCATCTCCCCCACACCCTTCTCCCCTCCACTTTTCTCTCCTCCATCCTCCTCTTCCCATCCTCCTCTCCTCCACTCTTCTCCCCATCCTCCTCTCCTTCCCTTCCCGCCAACATCTCAATCTTCCTCCCATACCTCTTCCTGAAAACCTCATCAGTACACCCAAACATGGACCCCAGACTCAGCTGCTGCTCACGTGGTAGCTCTCGTAACAGCTCATAACGCGGCCGTAACCGTTTCTCCACACTCCTCGTCAACAACGCCGGCCACACCACAATTTCCGCAATACTCCTCCCCATGACCTTTGTAACGAATAAAATCTTATCCTCGATAGTGGACCACGAATACGCCATCACTGTAGGCGTCTGATTGACAATCCGCACTGCACCCTCCCGCCCAAAAACGTCAATTAATTTCGACATTGTATCCATCATTCCGTCCCAATTCTGACCCAGCAGCAGCGGCTGTCGCCTCAGCAACCTTTTCGTGTCATCCTCTCCAAAATACTTCACCATACCCTCATAAGTCCTCTCCATAGTTTCATACTGGGCCAGCAAAACGTGAGGAAACTTCCGGAGGTAGAGAATCGGATCGTCCGCGCTGTTGCCGGATCCTAGCAACCTCTTTACAAGCTCCACCTTTCGCTGGATCTCCGACGCGCGTGCGCTTAAAACGAAGGGCGATCGCTCGAGAACTTCGCTCGCCGGACCTAGCCCCGCGAGCCTGAGCTGCCGAACCTTCTCCTCTAGGTTCGGCAGGGAGAGGTTGAGTACCAGCGGGAAGCATTTCAGGACTTTCTCGATTCTAACGACGCCTAAGTCGTGCCGAAGGTAATGAAGATTCTCCGCTAGGGACTCAACGGGAAACAGGAGAACGTTGGAGCGGGAACAGAGGTCGAAAAATGCAGATCGGGTTACACCGTAACGGCGAAAGAGATCAACGCGGCTTTGAACGGATGCAGCGTCCAGGGGAGCGGCGAGGAGGGATGGGAAGCGGTTGAAGATGCCAAGAAGTTGCTTCTCGCTGATCGCGAAGGAATCATCTTCGAAACTAAGTAGTACTCGGAGATTTTCGCTGGCGATGCTGTAGGAATTGGAGAAGGGAGCGAGCTTCTTTGGGAACTTGGCGGAAAGAGACGTAATTACGGCTTTGCGAGAACCATAAAGGGAGAACTCATCCTGAACTGGTGAACTTCCCGGAACGGAGATGACATCACCTTGATTATCAGGGCTCTGGGTTGAGGGAGGTTGGGTTAAAATGTAAGGAGAAATGGGACCTGCTTCATTGTCAGATAATCCTTTCTGCTTCGCACTGCCCGACTGCTTACTGCTGCCGTCGCTCCTTTCAGATATCTCCCTGTCATTCTCCTGGCCTTCGATTTCCCTGACGTGTGCGTTGACAGATTGACGGCGACTGGGACGAATTCCGTCAGCAACCTTGTCAAACGGCTGGTCAGCGTCGGCGACAGAAATCTCCGTCAGCGACTCGCCTGGCGACGCGGAGGGCACTGAACGCGGGATCCGGTGAAGAGAAGGCAATCTGCGATCGCTAAGGCCGGTTACCGCACACTGGCGAGAATGGCTGAAAAGTCTTGTGTTACAGTGGCCATCATAAGAGACTGGACAGAGGAAATTAGGTCCTTGTTGCAGCGTGTCATGCGATAATCTCCATTGTGAAGGACGTGTTCTATGTGGCTTAGGAGACGAATCAGCGTGACGGGTCGAGTGGGAGAGGTTTAAGGAGGTAACAGAGCATGCTCCCAAACGTCCTTCACTGAGAGGACGACACGTCAGCAGCGCCTGGGGCACCCCCATGATGCGAGTGGCACTCAGTACCGGCTCTTACATGAGTTCTGTTATATCACCGAAGAGTTTCCGATCCGCAACAGCTACTAATTTCTCAAGAATAAGGCAGAAACAGAAGAATGAACGGAGAGGTCACTTTCGGGACGAGTTTGTGGGAGGAGGGTACCGTTCCAAGTTCCGCTTTACCGTATTTCAACGCAGCTCACCAAGAATAATCGTGAAGAATGTACTACACCACACAAACAACCGAGCTGGGTCAGCGCTGACGATGGATCGAGCTGTGCGATTGAAGGGGCGTTGAATTCGTCCAATCCCGAGGTGCTTCTGGAGTCAAACTATCAGAAAAGTTGAGCCTCGTGGCTTTCTGTGATTGGCTTCCGCTCAATATCACCAGCTCCACAAGCTCTTCAAGCCAGCGTAGCCAGCCCGCCGCACTCAACTCAACCCAACCCAACCTGACAACAATGTCCCCGCGCCAAGAAATCTTGGATCCTGTACAGTACTCGTGCTTGGCATGGAAACCGAAACATCTGCAGTTGTTCAGTAACCGTTTGAGAACGCTATTAGACCGCTCGTCACCGCAGGAAACCCCCACTCGAGGCTGGGTGTGGTGTGCACTTGCAGAGCAACGCATGGATATAGGTGGTAACTATTGCTCGGTCAATCGGTAAGGTATCCCTCTTAGATTCTAGATTGTGTTTTCTTCCTTTGCTTTGGGACTTCCATGGCCACCATGGTTTTCTTGTCAGGCAATCTGTCTGGGATGGCTGGTTAAGTCTTATTTCGCTGAAGTAGTGTAGCGAGGTGTATTGCAGCACATCTTACGCGAAGAAACTTGTGTCGGTGCTGTGTATTAGTTAGTTTGTGTTTGTGTCGACCAGGAAATTCTAAGGATTGATTTTTCCACCCCGACCGTTAGTTTCAGCCACGCCTGGTTAGAGTACGCATTTTTAGTAAAGAGTCGAAAAGCCGCGATGGAGTTAAAGCGGTGGCTTGAGGAGCTAGTGAAGGTTGAAGATTCGGACCTGGCGGCTCTGGAGACCGCGCTTTGCGGCGCACATCCCGGCGGATTCGCCGCTTACCTGGAGGAGCTTGAGGCGGAGCAGGGCGCATCGCAGTGCAATGTGGTGTGGACGTACGGCGCGATTGCGTATCGCTGCCGCGACTGCCAGATCAACGACGCAAGGCAGGTTTCTTAGACGTGTCAAAAATCAACGTGGTTGTAATAGTGAACGGACGCACGGTAGGATAGCTTAGAGCTGGTGCAACCACCGGACAATCAAGCTAGCCATGCTGTCTGTTGCTCACGTTGCGAATTCAAGGCCAAATGTGATGTGTACAGACCAATTTGGACCTGCACAGACAGGATTTCCTTGGACGCTTCGTCTTCGATGAATTCTAAGGAGGAAAGGAAAAAGATCCATATCGCGACATGTAACGTGTCAATGTGTCCTTTGCGTCGCCTGTTTCCTTGGAATGTCTATCACCTGACATTCATCAACTGAATCTGTTAATCCAATCTATGAAAAACAATTCGCTGGTATGTAACTGAATGTTTTGTTATTTCTGGTACACCTGGTAATGGCCATTTTCAGCCACAGCTGGTTCGGCTCTCTGTCAGGGTTCGTATCCCATGTCTTGTGGTGCTTTTCTTTCTGCTGCCTCTCCTCCAGCCTCTCCCTGTCTCCCCTCCCCCAAACCTTTTCCCCCCGACCCTCCCCCCTCTTCCCTTTCTCACCCCCACCATCGCTTCTCCCCTTCTCTTCCCACCATTTCCCCGTTACTATGACAGTGCCATCTGCGTGAAGTGCTTTCAGGAGGGGGACCACCGGAATCATGACTATGGTACGTTTGACTGGGGTATTTTCATGAAAGTGATGATGATATTGTTTTCTTGTGCGCCACGGGTAGCGGGGCCTGCATGTTGGTTCAGAGAATCGCAGGCACATTAAGGTGTACTGTTTTGTGACTCCTTCTCACAAACCCAATCCCAAATTCTATGAAACCCTCCCTTACCATAATAAAAAGCTTCAAACTTAGTCGACTCAACTTTGCCTCCATCTCTTACTTGTTCTGGCCCCAACCCCAATCCTGTAACCCGATTCCTTTAACCCGATTTCTTTCAACCCGATCTGTACATCGTCGTGCTGCCAGTGATGTACCGCAGTGAGTCAGGAGGTTGCTGCGATTGCGGCGACCCTTCCTCCTGGAACCCCAAAGGGTACGTTGCTTCATTATAAGGCGATGCCATGCCATGCTATAAAATCTGGGACGAAAAATTCATGGTGTCTTGGTTCCAGCTACCTCTCCACTGAAGAATGACTTCCCATAACCTCCGATACTCTAATTTCTTTCCAATTCATGCAAGCACCACTGTGGTTTCATTGGTCGTCCAGCCTCTCTATCTATAGAATCTTTCCTGCTACTTCCCTTCATCTATCTTCCTTCAGTGCCTGCAAGCGCCACCGCCATCAGGAGCACTCAACAGACACACCCAAGCCGCTGCCTGGGAATCTCGGGCAGGTGACAGAAACGGCTGTGGCAGCAGTGGTGGCGCAGCTGGTGCTGCAGGTGGGGAAGGCGGTGAAATTCCCTCTGCAACCCCCCCGGGACCTGCTCAAGCTCATTGCGTGGCTCGACAAGGTGAGATCCTCATTACTTGTGAACAAGGTGAGTCTGTTTGTGAGGGGCTTAAAAAAAGAAACGGCTGTGAGAGCCATGGCTGCACCCTTTCCTCTCAGCACACAGTGAAGAAGGGAAGCAGGTGACTCTAGTATCGTGTCAAAATCCCCATTAAAAACTACTCCCTACCCTCCTGTTTCTACGTTATCTTGCCTTTCTCCTTGTCAGATCTCGCATGCAGCAGGCATAAGAGACATTGTGTGTGCGTGCATGGCGGCCCCCCTCCCTCCCTCTCCGTCTCAAGTTTTTCTCAACTCCCCTCTGTACCCCTTGCTTTCCCCCCTCCTCAGATCTCGCATGCAGCAGGCATAAGAGACATTGTGTGTGCGTGCATGGCGGCCCCCCTCCCTCCCTCTCCGTCTCATGTTTTTCTCAACTCCCCTCTGTACCCCTTGCTTTCCCCCCTCCTCAGATCTCGCATGCAGCAGGCATAAGAGACATTGTGTGTGCGTGCATGGCCGCACCCCTCCCTCCAAAAGTGCTGGCTGCTGTGAACCAAATGGGTGTTGTAGGGAGCGCAGGGAGCACAGGGAGCATTGGGAGTATTGTAGGCGTTGGGAGCTTTGGAAACGCAGGGACTGGGAGGGATATACTGGGTGGAAGTGGGGAGGGAACAATGGGAGAGGGGAGAACAGAGAGCGATGCTCGAGTTGGTGATGAGACTGAAGGGGCAGGCGGAGGGGCTGGAGGGGGAGGAGAACCACTAACACCGACAGAAGCAGCAGCAGCAGCAGCAGCCGTACAACAGGAGCAGCAGCCGCAACAGTTACAACAGCAGCCACAGCACCAGCCTCCCTCTCCCTTCCCCCTCTTCCTTCTCCCTCCACCCCCTCAGCCGTCCAGCTCCTCCTAGAAACCCTCTCAGCGATGGCGGAGGAGGTGGTAACACAGGAGGCGACGCTCTTCCTGCTGCTGCTCTACTCGCCCGCCTTCAAGACCGTCTTCTCAGCGCTGCTCATCCGCCAGTACCCACTCCTCGTGCTCTCCGTGCTCCCAGATCACAACCCCTCCGCCCGCTTCCTTAAGATTGAAAAGGCCCTGGACCGAGGTGAGTCCTGTGCTGTGCTCTGTGTGATGTCCCCTGTGCAGTGTGCCATGCTTCTCTCTACCTCCCTCTCCACTCCCTCCCTTCTCCACCACCACTACCCCCCTCTTGCTCTCCGTCCTCCCTGACCACAACCCCTCCGCCCGCTTCCTCAAAAATCAATTAGGCCCTGGACCGAGGTGGGTGCTCCGTGTGCCACGTGCCATGTGTGTGTCCCCATCTCCCTTTGAGTCGACGCAAAAGCGAGGTGAGTGCTCCGTGTGCCTCGTGCCATGTGTCCCCATCTCCCTTCCTCAGCTGCCTCCCTATCCTCCTCCTCCAAATCCCCCAACACTACCGCCTCCCCACCTCCTGCTCTCCAAACCCCCTTGCCTGCTTCCTCAAAATCGAAAAGGCCCTGGATCGAGGTGAGTGCTCCCTGTGCCATGTGCCCCGTGCCCTGTCACTCTTTCTCCGCCCCTCCGCACTCTGTTCCGTCTCCACCGTCCACTTCCTTTTGGAACAGAGGAGAGTATCCCACCCCCCCTGGCAGCGATGGTGCTGTGCAGATGACTTTTTAGTCGACTCAAAAGTCACCTTGTTCCTTCTCCACCGTCCACTTCCTTTTGGAACCGAGGAGAGTGTGCTGCCCCCCCTGGCGGCGATGGTGCTGTGCAGATGACTTTTTAGTCGACTCAAAAGTCACCTTGTTCCTTCTCCACCGTCCACTTCCTTTTGGAACTGAGGAGAGTGTGCCGTCCCCCTGGCAGCGATGGTGGTGCAGTGCAGATGGCAGTTCAACATTTTCTGAGCGCATCATACATTGCGTGTTTTCAGGGGACCAGAGCTCTCTTCCCACTCATCCCACACTCAACCTTACTCTCTTCTCTTCCAGTGATGGTGCAGCTGTTCAACATACCGGAGGTCACCATGCACGCACTGGGTGCTCTCAGGAGACTCATACTCACCCTGCATCAGACTCGTTCTTTTCCTCTTACCTCACACTCAAACATACTCTCTTCTCTTCCAGTGATGGTACAGCTGTTCAACATACCGGAGGTCACCATGCACTGGGCTCTCTTGGGAGGACGCTAATAAATTTATTATTCCCTTTCCATGCACTTACACGCATCATGTCCTCATCTCTGCCAGTGATGGTACAGCTGTTCAACATACCCGAGGTCTCCATGCACTGGGTGCTCTCAGGGGATCTGAACGCCCTTACCTTAAAACCAATCCCACATACATGCACTACAACATGTGTATCCCACATCTTATGTCTTGCAGTGATGGTACAGCTGTTCAACATACCCGAGGTCACCATGCACTGGGTGCTCTCAGGGGATCTCCTCCACCTCTTCGTCTCTGTCTTCTGCCGAGTTCTACAAGCCGCCAAGTCGTGAGTAGCTGTTTCTGCTCTTACCATGCTGTGTAAGTGAGTGTTAAAGCCCACGTGTTTGTCTTACCGTCCTTTCCTCCAAATCCTCGTCTCTGTATTCTGCCATGTCCTGCAAGCCGCCAAGTTGTGAGTACCTGTTTCCCCTGCTGCTGCTGCTGCTGCTGCTGCTGCTGCTGCTGCTGCTGCTGCTGCTGCTGCTGCAGCTGGAAGACCGAGCGTTGAAGCTCACTTGCCATTTACCATCCTCTCTTACTCTCCTCCGTTTCTCTCCGCTGTCTCGTCCTCTCGACCTGTGAACCCTGTGGATGGTGGCAGGCGGACAGGAGTGCTGAATTGTGAGAGCCCCATCATCTGGCCACGAGAAATAGTGACGCATGTAAGTGGGGTGTGGGTGGTGACTTTTGAGAGCAGCCTACATCCACTCTACTCACGCCCTCTGCACGACATGCACCTCATCTTCTCCCACACGCCTGTTCCCAACCTCCTCCTTTCCGTTTCTTTGTTCCTTCCCACCCAACCCCCCCCCCCCCCCCCCCACCTTTTCTTTTCCGTTCCCGCTCGATCAGAACAATCTGCATCCGCTCTACTCCCGTCCTCTCCACGACATGCGTCTCATCTTCTCCCACACGCCTGTTGTCAACTACCTCCTCACTCAGCGCCTGGACGTTCTAGCCGACCTGCTGCTCACACTCTCCCTGCTACAGGTCAGTTCTTTCTCACTCTCTCGCTGCTTGCGGCCCTGCCTTGAGCCCGTATGGGGCATGTGAGCTCGCACATCCTTCCGCCCCCCGCATGTGAGCTCACACGTCCTTCCACCCCCCGCATGTGAGCTCACACGTCCCTCCGCCCCCCGCATGTGAGCTCACACGTCCTTCCACCCCCCGCATGTGAGCTCACACGTCCCTCCGCCCCCCGCATGTGAGCTCACACGTCCTTCCACCCCCCGCATGTGAGCTCACACGTCCCTCCGCCCCCCGCATGTGAGCTCACACGTCCTTCCACCCCCCGCATGTGAGCTCACACGTCCTTCCACCCCCCCTCTCTGGCAGGGCATGAACCCCTTCGTGCGCTTTGAGTATGGCGACCTCAATGAAGACACCCGCTGGACTCGCCTCATGCCATGGCGTGCCTTTGAGCCTATATGCGCATCTTTCCCCCACCCCTTTCCCACACCCCCACACCAGGGCATGAACCCGTACGTGCGCTATGAGTATGGCGACCCCACTGAAGGCACTCGGTGGACCAAAGCCGTCACCCTCGAGGTTAGCATTGGACGCGGGTAGTGGTTGGGGGTGGGAAGTGGAGGTGATCTCCGGAGATGGAAGCTTGATGTGAGCTTGTAGGTGGAGGTCGGCAATGGGAATGGAGGTGGTGGGGGGTGGGTGGGGGGATGGGGGTGGGTGGGGCTTTTTGGACAGGAGCGGTTAACCGTTGCTTCTTGGTAGAAGGGTCTGCCCCGTATCCTCGGACCCAGTTCTTGAGCAAGTTTATGGAGCGCCTACAGGATCAGTTATAGGAGGACTGGTTGAGCCTATTTTTGAGTCGAGTAAAAAAGGGTCTGACCCAGTTCTTGAGCAAGTTTATGGAGCGCCTATAGGATCAGTTATAGGACTGGTTGAGGCACCGCTTTCGATATAGCGGGCGGAGTTTCCGCAGGGTTTTTAGGGGGGGGGGGGGATGGAGGGGGAGGAGTTGTAGGAGTGGTTGAGTAGCTGCTCTCGATAGGATGGACCCAAACTATTATGACCCAAGTTTCTGAGGAAAGCAGAGCGAAGGCTCTGAGAAAATCATTATCCAAACTACCTCATCCGGAGCCTTCCATCCACGTATCGAATTTTTCCAGTTAATCTCACCACCAACCACCCCACATTTTGGGTTTAAAGTTTCGAGTCATCTGCAACCTCAACATGCCTCTATCCCTCTCGACCCTCCCCCCCCCCGCTGTTCTCCCCCCAGATGCTAGTGATTGGTCTAATCGACACCATCACAGAGCGCTACACCGCCTCCCCCTCCATTGACCCCCCTGCCGCCCTCCTCCCGCTCCCTCCCAATATGCCCTCCTTCCTACATTTCCCTCTTCTTACCCCAGATGCTGGTGATCGGCCTAATCGACACCATCACAGAGCGCTACACCTCCTCCCCCGCCACCCTCCCCACCACCATCCTCGCCCCGCCTGCTGGGAGCACTGGAGGAGGGGCAGATGCATCAGGAGGGGAGGGGCGAGGAGAGGTGGGGGTGGATGCGGAGCATGCTTTGCTGAATGGGGCGCGCATTGCACTGCAGGCGCTTCTGGCTTGGCTGGTCAAGGTGAGTCAATGCTGGTCGAGGGGAGTCAAACCTGATGAGTTAATGCTGGTCAAGGTGAGTCAACGCTGGTCAAGGTGAGTCAACGCTGGTGAGGTGAGTAACGCTGGTCAAGGAGTCGACTCAACAATTGTCTGACGCTGTTAAATGATTTGAAATGTCTCAAATCCCTTGCTCACTCATCTCTCCCCTCCCTGAGCCTTTTCAGAATCAGATCAAGGCGGAGGACACAGGGTCCAAGACAGTGGCCATGTCGCTGCACCTGCCCCTGCACCGCATTCTCTCCCTCTTCTTCGCCTCCCTCGTTCACATCGCTGCTCATGCTGCTGCCCCTGCCGCTGCTGGTGGTGATGGGGGTGATCCGAGTGGCGGGTCAGGGCCAGCAGCATCAGTGGCTCACTTGCGGCGGCTGCTGCCACTGAACATGCGCAGAGAGGTGAGTGTGGAGAGATGGAGGGGGAGGTGAGGGAAGAGGTGAGGGTGGAAAGATGTGGCGCACCTCTCTAGTCTAGCGAAGAGCTGTAACACTGGCCAAGGCCAGCAGCGTCAGTGGCTCACTTGCGGCGAGGCGACTGCTGCCCCTCAACATGCGCAGAGAGGTGAGGGTGGAGAGATTTGAGGGTTCTCAATGCAACAAAGGGGCAAGCCAGCTTCATGAGTCGGGGCTGATTTTTTAATAACCATGTACGAAACAAGCTTCGTGAGTCAGGGCTGATTTTTTAATAACCACGCACGAAACAAGCTTCGTGAGTGGGGGCAACCATACAAGCTGCTCCCCATGCACCCTCCCTTTTCCCTCACCCCTCCTTCCTGGTCAGGTGCTGGCTATGGCGGAGCACCCACTTCGACTCTTCACTTGGATAGCTCGGGTATAAAGATTCTATAACCAACTAGTCCGCCCTTTCTTCCGCCCTCTCTCTCTCCTCGACCCTCCCTCCTTGTCAGGTGCTGGCGATGGCGGAGCACCCACTTCGACTCTTTGCCTGGATGGCTCAGGTCGGTTCTCCCTTGTCTTCTGCTATTATCTCCACTCACCCCTCTCCTCATTGCTTGCTCTCCTCACTGCTCTCCTCACTGCTTTCTCTCCTCACTGCTCTCATCAAAAAGAGATTCCAAATAAAGAGTATGGACCGTGTGTGATACTCATGTTCACCAATTCATGTGCCACCACCAATGACCAGATCCGGGCGCGTGAGTGGCACTAGCAGGGGGAGGACCTGAGCCACCTGGACTGGAGAGGGTGTATCGGGGGGGCTACTGGCCCGCTGCCATGGATCTCGACCTGCTGCTGCCGCATCTCCCTGCTCACTCTTTGCTCACTCCTTGCTCACTCTTTGCTCACTCCTTGTTCCCTTGTTCCTCTCTGATCGGATAGTTCCCCTCCGCTGCTGCCCTCCTCACTGCTCTCTTCGCTCCGTGCTCTATCTGCTCCCCCTTCCTCGTCCTTTTGCCCTCCCACCCCCACCAACCCCGTTCGCCACCCACCCACCACCAATGACCAGATCCGGGCACGCGAATGGCACTACCAGGGCGAGGATCTGAGCAAGCTGGAGAGGGTGTATCGGGGGGGCTACTGGCCCGCTGCCATGGACCTCGACCTGCTGCTGCTGCAGCTCGTCTCACTCTTTTCCAATGACTCCCCTGCTGCTCTGCTCGCCTCTGCTGTCAAGCACTTCAGTGTGAGTTGCATGGTTCTGTGTCCTTGGCTCACATGGCCTGCTAGCCTCCTCCGCCCGCTGCCATGGACCTCAACTTGCTGCTGCTGCAGCTCGTATCCCTCTTTTTTTCCAACTCCCCTTCTGAGTCTGTTTTTGAGAATTCTAAAAAAACAGACTTGCTGCTGCTGCAGCTCGTATCCCATTTTCCGCCAACTCCCCTGCTGCTCTGCTCGCCACTGCTGTCAAGCACTTCAGTGTGAGTTGCCTGGCCGAAGCCTCATCCTACCTTGGCATCGTCAGTCGTTCCAAACTCCATTACTGCTCTCCTCGCCTATGCAATGAAAGCACTCCAGAAGGCTTCAGAAGCACATGGGCTGTGTTTACAGTTGAAGCCTCACCTCCGCGTTCCCACCCACCATTCAATCAGTACCAGAAGGGAAAGGGAAGAAGACAGCACAATGCTTCCACCTTAGTCTGTCACCTTTCTTGCTGTCCTCTTTCCCATTCGCCCCCCTTCCCTCTCTCCCTCCCTCCCTCCTTCCTGCCGTGGCCCCTCCCTCCTTTCCTTCCCTCCTTTCCTTCCCTCCTTTCCTTCCCTCCTTTCCTTCCCTCCTTTCCTTCCCTCCTTTCCTTTCCGACGCCGCCTTCCCCTCCCTTCTCAGCTTCATGACACCTTTAGCAAAACCATCCAATGCACTTCTGCCACGTCATCAACCTCGTCATCTGCCTCCACTGCTGACTGGACAGCATCAGAGCTCAGCCGATTGGCTGATCTTCTCAAGCTTGTCCTGCTGGTGAGTGAGCGGTGCATATCAATGCAATGATGATTGGTATGCATTGCTCATGTAATTCTGAGTGGTTCTTCATTTACACACTGCTTTCTGTTCCGCGCACTAATTTCCGCGCACTAATTTCCGCGCACTAGTTTCCGCGCACTAATTTCCGCGCACTAATTTCCGCGCACTAATTTAATGGTTCTATACTATAAGTGATAGATGCGTCAATTGACCCGTTGTATATTGCTGCTATCACGGTTCCACAACAATTGCATTATGCTTGAGTACTGTGCATGCGTCTTGGTTCCTGATGCCTGTGCAGATCATTCGAGACCCTAAGCACACAGGATTCTCAGAGGTGAGTGTGAATGAGAGGTGCATTTGCTGCTGGATCACTGTGTTTGTACGAAAGCCTCCGCATCAACCTCCGATTCACCGAAAGTCGTTAACTGTCCTTGCGCGCACCTTCACACACAACATTGCTTGCTGTGTGTGCCACCAATCTAGGCCTCCACCCACATTCATACACCCTTCTTCACCTCTCCCATGCAAGGATACGTGTTGCGTTGCCATGTCTTTTTAGGCGCCCCTCAAATATTGCCTCACCTCAAATGTGTTCACCTGTCGTCTTAACCCTTTTACCAACCTCAGAAATACGTGTTGTGATGCCATGTTATGTCATTCAGTGGCTCGCAGTGTGCTGGCTGGTGAAAAATCCTAACACTCTCTCTCTCCTCTTACTCTTTTCACCCTGTTGTTCTTTCCACCCCCCCCTCGCCCAATGCAGGACTATGTGTTGCGGTACCATCTGATCCAGTGGCTTGCAGTGCGCTAACCAGTTGACAAGCCCCAACACTCTCTGCTTTTACTCTTCTAACCCTCCTTCGTCGTTTTACCCTCTCCCCTCTCCCAACCTCAGGATTATGTGTTGCGGTACCATGTCATCCAGTGGCTTGCAGTGCGCGTGCCCAACACTCTCTGCTTTTACTCTTCTCACCCTCCTTCATCGTTTCACCCTCTCCCCTCGTCCAATGCAGGATTATGTGTTGCGGTACCATGTCATCCAGTGGCTTGCAGTGCGCGACCGCACTCACAGTGATGTACGCCCATCCGCCTTTATCACCTCACACATAGCATGTGTAGCATCTTATCCTTCAGCACACACATGTTCGGATGTACATTTAACACTCTCAAGTACACTCCTCCATAATGCACTCTGCTTGCATTGCATCAATCCTATGCTTCGAAAGTGGCTTGCTTGCCTTAACCACTCCACGCTTTTGTTTGCTAGTTTTGCTTTTTACGTGCCATGGCGCCTGCAGCAAGGGGAGTACTTCTAGCTGTAACCTGCGTGCTGAAGAGTCTTTACATGCTTTCCCCTTTCCTGCCTTGCCTCCCTGCCTTGCCTCCCTGTTTCCCTCTCCAGCTTTCCCAGCAGCTGGGATCTTCTCTCGCCAGCCTCCCCCAGCTGAGCGCAGTGCTGCAAGAGGTGGCAGAGCACCATGTGCCGCAGCACCCTCACCTCACTCTCTCATTCCTCCCGTTGTACCATGTGCTCTGGACCTTTCCACAGCTCTCTCAACAACTCGGTTCTTCTCTCGCCAGCCTCCCCCAGCTGAGCGCAGTGCTCCAAGAGGTGGCAGAGCACCACGTGCCGCGGCGCCTGCAGCAGCGCGGGTACTTCCAGCTGAAACCCGCCTGCTGGGGCGAGTTTGACCCGCTCTTCCCCCACTACTCACCCTCGGAGCTAGAGGAGGCGCAGGTGAGATGGTGTGTGTGAGTGAGAGTAAGGATCTCTCAAGTCAATGGAACGCGAGGGAAGGCGGAGGTCGAGTGCATGGTCCCTTCCTCATAGGCTGAAGCCCGCCCGCTGGGGCGAGTTTGACCCACTCTTCCCCCACTACTCACCCTCGGAGCTAGAGGAGGCGCAGGTGAGATGGTGTGTGTGAGTGAGAGTAAGGATCTCTCAAGTCAATGGAACGCGAGGGAAGGCGGAGGTCGAGTGCATGGTCCCTTCCTCATAGGCTGAAGCCCGCCCGCTGGGGCGAGTTTGACCCACTCTTCCCCCACTACTCACCCTCGGAGCTAGAGGAGGCGCAGGTGAGATGGTGTGTGTGAGTGAGAGTAAGGATCTCTCAAGTCAATGGAACGCGAGGGAAGGCGGAGGTCGAGTGCATGGTCCCTTCCTCATAGGCTGAAGCCCGCCCGCTGGGGCGAGTTTGACCCGCTCTTCCCCCACTACTCACCCTCGGAGCTAGAGGAGGCGCAGGTGAGATGGTGTGTGTGAGTGAGAGTAAGGATCTCTCAAGTCAATGGAACGCGAGGGAAGGCGGAGGTCGAGTGCATGGTCCCTTCCTCATAGGCTGAAGCCCGCCCGCTGGGGCGAGTTTGACCCACTCTTCCCCCACTACTCGCCCTCGGAGCTAGAGGAGGCGCAGGTGAGATGGTGTGTGTGAGTGAGAGTAAGGATCTCTCAAGTCAATGGAACGCGAGGGAAGGCGGAGGTCGAGTGCATGGTCCCTTCCTCATAGGCTGAAGCCCGCCCGCTGGGGCGAGTTTGACCCACTCTTCCCCCACTACTCACCCTCGGAGCTAGAGGAGGCGCAGGTGAGATGGTGTGTGTGAGTGAGAGTAAGGATCTCTCAAGTCAATGGAACGCGAGGGAAGGCGGAGGTCGAGTGCATGGTCCCTTCCTCATAGGCTGAAGCCCGCCCGCTGGGGCGAGTTTGACCCACTCTTCCCCCACTACTCACCCTCGGAGCTAGAGGAGGCGCAGGTGAGATGGTGTGTGTGAGTGAGAGTAAGGATCTCTCAAGTCAATGGAACGCGAGGGAAGGCGGAGGTCGAGTGCATGGTCCCTTCCTCATAGGCTGAAGCCCGCCCGCTGGGGCGAGTTTGACCCACTCTTCCCTCACTACTCGCCCTCGGAGCTAGAGGAGGCGCAGGTGAGTGGGTGGAAATGGTTTGGGGGATATACATTCATGGACAGGGGAATGTGATTCCATTCTGGAAGGGGGTTGCAGCTGGGGGAGGGGGAGGGGGAATGGGAAGCTCGAGGTTTGAGGAGAATACATGGCATAGCACACAGTATGGGTGTTGGGGAGATACTCGCCTGCTCTTTGCCCGCCTTTTCCCCCCTGTTACTCCACCCTTTCCGCACTTTTCCCCTTTCTCACCCGCACTTCCCCGGTCTTGCCCTACTAACCACCTCAACCTCACGTGTGTGCGCCCATATGTGCAGCAGCGACCAAAGAGGCCGGCGCTCATAGTGGGCTCCTGGTGGGCTCAAGATGGGCCTCTGAGTTTTTGAAATGCCTCACAACCCCTCTTCTCCCGTCGTTCGTGCCCTTCTTTCTTCCCCTCCTGCATGGGAGTGCAGGAACGAGCAGAGAGGTTGGCACCAAAAGTGTGCTTTTGGCAAGTGCAGTGCCCGCAGCGACACATGGCGCCGTTTGATAGGCTGCCAGACATGGCTCACACCGAGGTGAACTATCTTTCTCTGCTGCTCGTTCAGTATTGGTCGAACCGGCCTGGAGGCACATTTGCCATTTCTCATTCGACTCAACAGTACCTCTGCACGACCATACCTCCTCCACTACGTGCTCCCTAGCACGCCTCTGCAATGGTTACACGTTGCGCCCTGTCCCCTCTCTTTTCCCCCAGCTACTTGTTCCCGTCCCGCTAACCCCTTCCCCTACTGCCCTACCCCTCCCCTGTTCCATGCTCGCAGCCTTGTCACATTGTGGTGCGCTGTGCTGTTGCATGCGCTGCCCACCTGCTCGCCTCACACAACCCATCCCACAGCACGCAAGCGGAAAACATTGCTCTGCTTGCTACCCAGCTTGTGACTGTTGCTGCTACTGATGCCAGGTGGGTGGTGGGGTGGGGTGAAGTGGGGTGGGGTGGGGTGGGGTATGCTAATGTGCACTTCCTTGGTGAAAGCAATACCTACTGGCAGCCGTCACCTGTCACATTACTCCGAGGTCCCTCTTTCCGCCCTGATCTCTCAGTTGGCTTTTTCCCACCTCCTCTCTCTTCTCCCCTCCTCTCGCTCCCTCTCGCTGCTTCCATCCATGCTCAGTCCCTCCCTTCACTTTTATTTCTTCTTCCCCTCTGTTCCCACTTCTCCTCTCCCCCGGTTTACATTCAGGTCCAACCCAAGCTGGTTGTGGAAGTAAGTCGACCGGGTCCTCTATCTCGAATCCTTTGGCTATTTTTCCCTTGCCCCCCTTCCCTCGTCCCCTTTTCAGGTCCAACCCAAGCTGGCTGTGGAAGGAAGCAATGGCGCTGGGCGCGCCAGTCTCCTCCTCCCCTTCCCGGCCTCCCGTGTATCCACCTGGCCCATCATCTTCCAAAAAATCTGGCAGCAGCGGGAGCAGCGGCAGTGGCAACAGCGGTGGTGGTGGGGTTGGGGGCAGTGGAGAGAGCGAGTGGGACTCGGAGCGGCTACAGTCAGTCAGATCTCGTCCCTCCGCCTCTGCTGCTGATGATGAAGGTGAGTGATAAGGCTAGCAGGAAATATGGTGCTCCTCTCTCCAGCATCTCAAACAGCGTTCGGTGGGGGCGTTTTGAAATGTCTCAAAACACTTCTTTATCAAGACAAAGAAGATGGCAGTTCTCAAACACCTTCCAGTGGGGACTTCTCTCTCCACCATCTCTTGCGGCGATGAGAACTCTGGAAGAGCTATTGGTGGGAGTAGGTGTGGTGGGGAGAGTGAGAGGGACTCGGAGCGATTGCAGTCCGTCAGATTTTTTTCCTCTGTCACTGCTGCTGCTGCTGATGAAGGTAAGATTGATCAAGACCCTGCTAATGGTGAAGATTTTCCAGAACCTGATTGTGGTGGTGATGTCGCCTGTGTGAGCTGCTCGCCTCTTAGGCTTCAGAAAAATCCAGGAGTCTGTTTTTCAGGCGCCTCAAATGCAGACCCCTCTCTTACCTTTCCCCCTCCTACCCTTCGCTCTCCCTCCTCCCCTCTCCAGATGATGACGTTGCGTGTGTGAGCTGCTCACCTCGTTGGCTGGTGGGGATCTCCATGTGCCTGTCTCTGAGGTGCCTCATAATCAGACCCCTCTCCCACTCTCCCCCCTCCCCCCTCCCCCCTCTCTTTCCTCTTTAGACGATGACGTTGCGTGTGTGAGCTGCTCACCTCGCTGGCTGGAGGGAATTTCCAGGAACTTCAACAAGTTACGCTCGCAGTCCCCCTCACGCTCCTCTCTAGACCTCTTTCGCTCTTCCTCCTCCCCTTCGCGCCGCTCCTCTCCCTCCCGTCACTCCCTAGACATTGCAAGAAGCCTGGACGATGCCGCTACTGCTGCCGCTGCCGTTGCTGCTTCTCCTGCCCCCCCTCCTCCTGCTGCTGCTGGTGTTGGCGATGCTGCTGCTGCTGCTGCTGCTGAAATTGCCGGTGCTGATACTAGTGTTGATGGTGACTTTGATGTAGCAGCAACAGCAACAGCAGCAGCAGCAGCAGGAGCAGCAGCAGCAGTTCTGTCGTGCTTGCCATCTCCCTTGTTAGCTGACGATGCAGCAGCAGTCATATCGTGCCTACCCTTTGGGGGGGAAGCACGGGGATCAGCAGGTGCTAAGGCAGGTGGCAAGAGCAAGGGGCGGATTTCGCCCTTTGACTCGCTTCCAAACGTGTTCATTTCCCTTAAGAGCATACTGCAGAACACTGACAATCATCGTGAGTATTCTAAAGCCTCAAAACTCCTGAAAATTGAGTAGTTAACCAAAAATGCGCCTTATTCTGTTCTGTTCTGTCTTCTCCTTCCTGTCCCTTCTCTTGTTGCCTATTTTTTGTCCACTCCCTATTCCTCGCTCTCCTCATCACCCTCTCTTGCTACTGCCTTGTCTCAATTTGCCTCGTTAATTTCCAACTCGCAAATCTCATGAACGCCTTGGAGTTTGTGTTCTCGTGTTTGTGATCTCGTTGCTCACAGGCACACTCAACATAGTGTCTTTACTCAACCACGCCCTCTCCTCTCGCCGTCTCTTCCCTTTCGACTGCCTTTCTTGTTGCCTATTTTGAGTATTTAGATAAAAATAGGCACACTCTACATGGTGTTTTGACTCTACCACGCCCTCTCCTCCTGCCCTCTCCTCCCTTTCGACTGCCTTTCTTGTCCCCTTCTCCCCCGCCAGGTCTCAAGGACGCCATAGAGCATGTGATCTCGTTGCTTATGACCAGACTCAACCTGCGACCACATGAAGCACCAGGGGAGGTGAGTGGGAGTGCTCCTTACAGTAAGATGTGCCTCAAAAATATACTCCATAGAGCATGTGATCTCACTGCTTATGACCAGACTCAACCTGCGACCACATGAGGCACCAGGAGAGGTGAGTGGGAGTGCTCCTTACAGTTAGATGTGCCTCAGAAATATACTCCATAGAGCATGTGATCTCACTGCTTACGACCAGACTCAACCTGCAACCGCATGAGGCACTGGGGGAGGTAAGTGAGATTGCTTCTTTTGTTTTTTTTTTTTTGTTTACTGCCACATGCGCAACGGGGAATGTGGATATGGTGCTTCATTTCAAAGACTGATGTATGATGTGCCGTTTGGGATGGGTGGGGATGCTGGAGATTGAAGTTACCATGTAACAGGAATGAACGGAAGGCCATTCGCTGTACTTTGCTGCACACTCGCTTCTCTCCTTGTCTTTTTGTTTACACTCTCTGCCATTGCTTCACACACTGTTTTACCCCCTTTCCTTCCTTCTCTCTCCTACTCCGTGTTCAGTCCAAGGCAGAGCAGCCTGGGTCTGCAGCAGCAGCAGGAGCAGGAGGTTTCATGTCTAGGCGCAAAAAAATCGTTCCTTCACACCCTCTCCCTCTTCTCTCTTCTTCCTTCTCTCTCCTCCTCCGTTTTCAGTCCAAGGCAGAGCAGCCTGGGTCTGCAGCAGCAGCAGGAGCAGGAGACATGGCAGCAGGCGCGGCAGCAGGAGAAGCAACAGCAGCAGCAGCAGGAGCAGCAGCAGGAGGGGGCGCGTCAAGGGCGGCTGGAGGAGGGATGGGGTCAGATGAGGCGAAGCGGCAGCAGAAGAGGCAGCGACAGGCTGCTATCATGGCTCAATTCGCTGCTAAGTAAGATGATGGAATGGGATGGCTTGGCATGGCATGGCATGGCATGGCATGTCTTGTCTGAGACTGACGGTATGCCTTTTGTGTGGAAAGAAGCGGAAACAGAGGCAGCGGCAAACGGCTATCAGGGCTCAATTCGCTGCTAAGTGAGTTGTGGGGGGGGTAGTTGAGTATGGGGACTGGGGATCTGGTTGTTGGGTGGCATGTTGCATAGGCTTTGGAACGTAAGTCTTTATAATGAAGAGAAGAGGCAGTGCAAGAGACAGCAGTAGGCTGTCACCATTACGCTGGCTACTGCTGTCTCTTGCGCTGTGGATATCGGAACAATGCACACTGCTATGTGGACTTGAGCAGGCTGTTTGCCAGTAAGTATAGGGCTCGTTAGTCTATTTATATTTCGTTAGTCTATTTATGGCAGCAGCAAGCAATGATTTGTAACAGCCTATTTACTAAACGTGACACATTTATGTCTGAGCAGGCAGAGCGCTTTTGCTAAGATGCTGGCAGCAGCAGACGATGATGAGGATGATGAGATGGAGGAGGGGAGGACGAGAGAGACGAAGGGTACTACAGCAGTAGCAGGTGGAGCAGGATCATGGGAAATTGGCCAGGCAACAGACAGCAAAGGAGCAGTAGATGCAGCAGCAGCAGCACCTGCTGCTGCAGCAGGAGCAGCGGAGGGCATGGATATTGATGGGGACAGGGCAAGGGGGGCTGAGGGTGCAGATGGTAGTGACAGGGGTGGAGATGGTAATCAAATGGGCGAGAAGGAGAAGCAAGGGGACGTAGGGCGGGGGGGATTGGAAGGGGACGGAATGGGTGGTGCAGGGAGGGAAGCTTCACGGAGCAGGAAGAGAGGGCAAGCAGGGGGGGACGAGGGGGCAGTTGGGGAAGCTATGGAGGTGGATGGGGGGCCAGAAGGAAGCAAGGGCGGAAAAACTGGTGTGCAGGGTGCAGAAGGTGTGGGTGGGATAGAGAAAGGAAAAGGCAAACTGGTAGAGGGTGGGAGGGGGGAGGGTGTGGGTGTAGCAGCGGCACCAGGAGGAGCAGCAGCAGCGGCACAATCAGCAGTAGCAGCTTCTGTGGGAGCTGCTGCAGCAGCAGCGGCAGCGGGTGGTGGTGTGAGGAAGGCGAGAATAGCGCCGGGGTCTCTTGCTGCGTTCACGTCCTTTGAGCCGGACCTGTGTGGTTTCTGCCATGCCGAGGTAAGAAGGAGTGCACTGCGGTGTGAAGCGGTTGATTTGAGGAAGGCAGAAATAGTTGCTGCTTGCACATCCTTTGAGCCGGACCTGTGTGGTTTCTGCCATGCCGAGGTGAGAAGGTGCTGTGCTGTGTGTGAGGCTGCAGCAGGAGCGGTGGTGTGAGGAAGGCCAGATGATGATGACGTCCCCCATCGGGTTTGTGGTTCTAACCCAGCCGTACAAGTATTTTAGAGTCGACTAAATTTTAGGCTGCAGCAGGAGCGGTGGCGTGAGGAAGGCCAGATGATGATGACGTCCCCCATTGGGTGGGTGGCTCTAGCCCAGTCGTACAAGTTATCATCGCATCCCTCCCCCGTTCGCACTTCTGCTGGGATTGCTTGCCTCACGTGTTTCCATATTTCCTCTCCTCCCGTTCTATCCCTGAACCTGCACCCAATATCGTTCCATTGTCCATCCCCAATGCCGCTCCACACCAACATCACCCATTGGGTAGGTGGCTCTAGCCCAGTCGTACAAGTTACCAACCAACAACCATACCCAGTGTCGCCCCACACTGATAGCCCCTATTGGGTGGGTGGACCGTGGCCCTAGCCCAGCCGTACAAGCTACCAGCCATCATGCACTCGCTCCCCTTTTTTTTCGCAATCTATTTCTCACATATCCTCCCCTTTCATCCCTAAATCTTGAACCCGAAACCCCAGTGTCGACCCACACCAACAGCCCCCATCGGGTGGGTGGCTCTCGCCCAGCCGTACAAGCTCCCCGCCATCATGTACTCCCGCGCTCAGCCTATCACCCCCGCTGCTGCTACTTCCGCCACAGCTGCCGCAGCTACCGCTGCTGCTCCTGCCCTTTCTCCTCCTGCTGCCGCTACTGCTGCTGCTTCTGTTGCCGAGCCGAGACAAGAACAGGAAGGGCCTGGTGCTGCTGCTGAGGCAGCAGAATCGAGTTCGGGGCTGAATAGAAATGCAGCAGCAGAAGCAGCAGCAGCAGAAGCAGCAGGAGCATATCACAGTACATTCTGCAGCAGGAAATGCGAGAACCAGGGCAGAAGCTGCAGGGAGTATGAGTGATAGAGCAGCAGGGGGAGTGGAGTGGACAGTGGGGGTGCAGGTGGAGGGGGCACTGGACACACAAGTCACCTCTCACATCCGATGCTGCGGCCACCAGGTGGGGGTTTATTGTCGTCAGGTGAGGCTCTGCAAGCAATAGGGCAGGGAATGCGAGGGAGAGAGCAGCAGGGGGAGTGGAGTGGACAGTAGGGGTGCAGGTGGAGGGGGCACTGGATACGCAGGTCACCTCTCACATCCGATGCTGCGGCCACCAGGTGAGCCTCTGCTGGCTACATTGGGGCTCTGTTGCCTTCAGATGGGCCTCTGTTGCCTTCAGGTAGGCCTCTGCATCCGTCGGGTAGGACTCTGTTTCCATCAGGTGGGTCTATGCCTTTCGAGTGCCTGCCTTTATGCCAGATGCATGTCAGCTCTGGTGGAGAGCGGGCTAGGCTTTGTGTGGGATGGTGGGGTTGCGCACTCATCCTTCCCTCGCTTTGAGAGAGCCAGCGACACTCATTCCCACACTTTGTGACGAGGTGACTTTTGAGTCGACTCAAAAGTCACCTCGTTACAATGGCACACGACACTCATTCCCACACTATGTGCGTCCTTGTACCTGCCGGTGTGCCCGTCGTGACTTTTGAGTGTCCTGTCCGTCACCTTTGACTTCTGCCCGTCAAAAGTCACCTTTGTGCGTCCTGGTACCTGCCGGCGTGCCCGTCTCTCTCTGTCTGTCTGTCCGCCCCTTTGTCTACCGAGTTGACTTTTGAGTCGACTCAAAATGTAGTAAACTCGCACTCATGCTTCCCTCTCTTTGTGTGTCCTGGCACCTGTCGGCATGCCCGTCTCTGTCTGTCTGTCTGTCCGCCCCTTTGTCTACCCCTGTTTCAGATGCATTTCGAGTGCTACAACCAGTACATGTCCGCCCTAGTGGACAGGGACAGTGCTGATCGGCCGTATGAAGGTGAGCTGGCAAGGTAGTCATAAGGTAAGTGCCCTTTCTACTGATACCAGATGCATCTCGAGTGCTACAACCAGTACGTGTCAGCTCTGGTGGACAGGGACCGAGCAGATTGGCCATATGAAGGTGAGCTGCCTAGCTAGCTGAAAGGCACCACTGGGGCTCTTTGCACAGACGCTAGATGCGATTCGAGTGCTACAACCAGTACATGTCCGCACTAGTGGACAGGGACAGTGCAGATCGGTTGTATGAATGTGAGGTGCTATCAGTCAAGTGCTCTTTGCACTGTAGCCAGATGCATTTCGAGTGTTAAATATAATACAACCAATACATGTCCGCACTAGTGGACAGGGACCGAGCAGATCGGCCGCATGAAGGTGAGCTGGTTAGCTACCTGCAATCACAAGTGCTCGTTGATTTCTCACTGCTGCTGTGCTGGCTAGGCTAGCTACCTGCTTTGCCTCTGCTTTCTCTCTGCTTTCTCCTCTTTCCCCCACAAATTTCCCCTTAACCTCACCCAGCTTCCCTTCCCTTCTCCAATAGTGCGGCCATATCACTCTATTGGGCTTGAGGCGCCACAGAGACTCCCCTCCCCCCCACCCACCCTCCCACCTTTCTACTCCACCTCCCCCTCACACCTCCCTCCCCACCCCCGTTTCTCAACCCCCGCCTGCCCCCTTGTTTTCCTGTTGCAACGCTCAGGCCGTGGGCTGATAGACCTGGCGCGGGGCGAGTTCCTGTGCCCTGTGTGTCGCCGCCTCGGCAACCTGTTGCTGCCAGACGTCAGAATGACCCTGCCCCTCGCCAACCCTCCACCTTCCTCTGAGGCGCCTCAGAAACCGACTTCTACTGCTGCCGCTGCTGGTGGAGGTGGTGATGGTGCTGGTGCTGGGTCTTATTCTGGTGCTGGCGCTTCTGTGGTGAAGAAATCAAGCTTGACGAGACAAGAGAGAGAGACTGAGTGCCTCAAGAGGGTGTTGGAGCGGTTGAGGGCGTTAAAGAGGTGTTTGGATGAGGAGAGGGAGGA